GAATGTTTAAAATTACAAATTTTCAGTTTTGGAAGCCAAAATTACTATAGAAGAAACTTAAAAAAAAACACCAACCTTTATTACCGACCTTATTTTTCCTAACCCTTACACTATTTAAAATGAACAGAGGATATAGGTACAAAGTAAGACTTTGAAAAACTAGCAAGCTCTTTAATCTACCTACACAGTCACCGCTAGAAAATGTGTATGTGTGTGTACTTGATACCTTTATTTACAATATTTATCTTTATAAATTATCAGTAGTTCATATAACTATATAAAATCAATAATAAAATACTTACGTATCATTAATTAGCGATTTAAAAAAGGCATTTCGTCTAATAGAATCGTGCAGTCGCGATCTTTTATGTCACATCTTTTTAATTATTTAAAGTTAGATAAACATATTTTGGGCTAAAATCTGGTAAGCGAGCTACAAAATAAAATTTGACAGCAGTCTCTTCTTTTATTTCTCTATAGAGCATGATAAGATAAACATCATCATCATCAGCCTATTAATGTCCCCATTGCTGAGTATAGGCATTCTCTATGAATGAAATAGAGAGACTGGGCCGTGACCTACCACGCGGGCTCAGTGCGGATTGGTGGGTGCTAACGATTGTAAATGCAGACGAGACCAAAGGCTTAACGTGCCTTCCGAAGCTCGAGATAGTAAGTTTTTAGTCACCCATCCAATGACTGACTATTGCGATAGTTGCCAAACTTTTGCGACCGCAGGCAGAAGGTGCTAACCACCTTGCGCCATCCACCTCATGCTCCGGTGAATATACATACTATCAAGTCAGTCAAATTTAGTTTTAGGATTAGATAATTATGCTTGCGCCTATAATTTTAAAGTCGAATGTCGATACATCGTGTTCGGCAATGGTGTCGATTCTGGCAGGATTCTCTAAGCTTAAAACTAAATTTAAGATCAGTCTGTCCTTTTCATTCTGTATAGAGAACGACAGTGATACACTGTTGTCAAAGAACAATGCCCTTGTTGACCTGACCATGTATAGAGAAAATAACGCTAATTTACTTATTAGTTTATTACAACAATCAACGTGGTAAAAGAAACGCAGGAAAAAAAGATTTTTTATTATTTCAATATGTTTATTGTATGTATAAGTTACAGTTTCCGAACGCACTTCAAGTATCCAGTTCGCAAAACGGAATTCTTTGACATATGACAGGTGTTTGACAACCCGCTCTGCACAGAGTTGGTTATTAGAATGCTTATTTGGTATTTTGTTTAATTTTAAATAAAATAATGTAGGTCTTGGGACAAATTATTCCTCACAATGATTGTTTGGTTATTCATATCCGTTTGGCAGGTATGGCATATAGTAGGTAATCAATTCACTAATAACTGCACTGCATTTGTCTTTTAACTTGATAGAAATATTTTCTCTTTTTATGTAATATGTTGTAAATAAATCAACAAATTAAATTGCAGATGATGCAAAAGGACATCTGAACACTTCAGTGTCGCCAGAGCAAAAAATAAATATAATCTAAAAAAACTATTATTTTAATTTTCCTGTGCTTAAATCGTAAAAATGACTATAGGATATTATTTTCTTAATTTATAAGTAATTTTTCCAGTATACTTTATATTTATACATTAACTTTCATTGTCAGGTTTTCATTTGTATGGAAAGTGGGCATTGTTCTTTAAGTTTATAAGTTTAGCTTTAGAGAAACATGCCAGAATCGACACCAATGATGTCCTCCTCTAACTTAGATAGTTTTTAAAGGCATAGAGTAGGACACGACACAAATAAATTCACGATACAACGATTGATGAATTAAAAATTGCGCCCTGATGAAGTTGGCCCAATAGGAATGTTATTTAAAAATCGGATTATTTTTTTGTATCAAATTGATATTTTAATCTCAAAAATGTGAAAATAAAACTATAGCAATTGGTTAATTAACATCGCATTTCGCCACATAATTTTATTTGTAAATGGACTGCAAGATTCAAAACGCAAACTTAAGAATTCTAGCCGTTATAATCTCCTATAAAGAAAACATAGTGGACACAGTTTTGCACAATATTTACCATAAAGAATGCTTTAATTTATTAACTAGAAATTTTAGGCGAAAGCTGAAATAAACATCAACGTAAAGTTACTTTAAAAAGCTAGATATAATAAAGATATTAAACAATAAAAACCAACGTTTAGGAAAAATATATAAATAAAGTATAATGTATTTACATCAATCATTGATTTACGTTTTGTTTCCGTTGGCTAAACTGGATTTTTTAGGCAGTGGAGAATGTTTTTACAGCCTAATATTAAACACGAAGAGCCATCAAAGCTTGAATTTATCTTTTAATAAAAATAAAAAACCTGTAATATTCATTTCAGGTTATTCCTTTACTTAGAAATAAATGAAATTATTTTGTGCTATATTAATGTTATCATACTGATCTTAAGAAATACTAAATTACCATAGACATTTAGTTATGTTCTTGTTAATTTATGTGTAAAGTGTACTCTTTTCATGTTGATATTATTAAACATTGATTAATTAGACATTAACTTGTGAACTTAATAAAAAATATGTCAGCTTAAACATTGATTAACTTTACAAAAAACACATGGCTTTTTTAGCACAAAATAATCAAGTAAGAACCTAAATAGTAATAAGACTAGCGGTTGCATACTCAAACAAATTTAAATTAAAACATAAGGTTTAAGATTTGCAGGAACTTTAAATGTAAAAACTAACATACTTTTGAATATTAGGTTTCTATCAGTTAAGCAGAATTCAAAATAACCACGCTCTTTACAACTGTTATGAGCAATTAATTCATCTATAAAGTCAGTCAAAAATTAAGAAGATCTGTGAAGTAAGCGCAATTCGCAAAGCAGTAAACGAATTTAGGGATAATTTGATATTAGACACAGAAAATAAACTAGCCGTTTCGGGTCCAACTATAAAGTAATATTGGGCAGACGAGTGTGAAAACGACGAAGCAATCTGGCGGTTTCTGGTTTTTATGTGTATTGTCTATGGATTAGGCAAAAGGCAAATAAGGATGGGCAAACTTTTTTTTTTACTATCGGGAGCTAATGGCGGGTTATGTTTTCGCTCATGACATATACGATTTGCACTAGAATTTGTAAATTTAAACTCAGTAAGGAATGTCCCTCACCTCCTCAGTTTGCTGCAAAGTTAAAAGGTAGGTTCGGCAGCGGGGTGTTCCTTGTCAGAACATGTGAAAAAATGGTACTTTCTGGTGATAACCTTTGATTTTTGTTTGATGGTCGCGGGTCGGATTTAAACCATTCAAGGGGCGGAAATGGCCCCTAGTTTGCCCATACCCTTCATGCGAGGTGGTGCCCTGTCATGTTGTCCTGTATCTACGAATTTATTTAATTGACGCTCAGTCTATTCTTTATGTCTACGGTTTTGCTGATCTGAAACCTGAAAACAGCTACGTTCACTGCTAACTTCACAACCACCATAATTCAAATGTAAATCGCAATATACGTGGAGCTATGTATTAAGCAAGTTGCGCTATGATTTCAGTATCAAATCCGGGATTATAATGAACCAAATAGTGAAAAATTTGCCCATTCCTGTTGTAAAGTGAAATAAGTTGCTTTTCTGTCACATTTCAGGGATATCATTTGGCACTCACAGTTTATAGAGGAGCTCAGAATACTTGCAAGCAGCAACCATCTTGAATAAAACCATAGACAAACTTACGCAGAAGACATTTTTGGATGTCAAATTGCTACTGCGCAGGCTGTACTGTCTATGGTTTATGTTTATGATTTTTGCTGGGGTCTTTATATCGCCTAAACGTAACAGACTATTATCCCGATTCTACAGAAGATCTCACATCAAGATACTACAAACCTTATATCCAGAAAGATAAAACTCGAAGTCAGTGGCAAAAATCGACGGTATAAGGTAATTTGACCTGTGGTTCTCTGTACATTGACATTCATAAATTATGACAATAAATTTATTAAGATGGCTCTTCTGTTCCATTGTACTTTAAATGCATTATGATATTTGTTTAAAACAAATCGTGCTGTGTAAATTAATAATTAAACGTAATTTTAAAAATTACTTGCAATTACATAATAAATCTCGACTCTCACTTAGATGTCTTTTTTTAAGATATCCTTTTGCCTTTCCGATAATAAAAAAAAACTATCGACAGTTCTCAATTTTGGTCTTCGTTCGTTTCAAACACACGAGTAAAGAAGATACAGAAGCAAGGCTTCATGCAATGCGCATGAGTGAGTGAGCACTGGCGGCCTGGGTGTTGATTCTAATAAATTTGTTTTTTGTTAAAAGGTTGCCAAACAAGTCTAGCCTATAGACGCTTGCGATACCAAAAATATCACTCCGTTGCTTTGCACTTTGGCCCTGGAACCTGAATCACTGACAGAAACACAACACCACCAAAAGTTAGTGCTATTTTACTGGGTCTTCTGTAAGTTGGAGGTTACTTATCTGCGTTCGCGACAGGCGCCAGTGTTCACTCACACACGCGCAATAGGGTATTATCCAAATTTTTGAAAACTGCTTATATTTAAAAATATGATGAAGAAGACAAACGATTTAACAGAAAAATAAAAATTAATTAATGCCTTTTTTCTCCATTATACCAATTAAAGTTGAATTTATTTTGAATGGTTTTGAATTTACCGCCAAAACGCTCGGTTCGAAGATGTCTACTGTGTGACGTCCACTTTGTGTAAAGAATAATACATATGTAGTCTGTGGACGATCTGTGATTACAGAGTAATAGGGTAATTTCCATTATTTTCAAAACTGCTTATGTTACCACTCCGTAATCACAGATCGTCCATAGACTACATAGGTGTTAAAATTCTTTACACAAAGTTGACGTCACACAGTAGACGTCTCCGAACCAAGCATTTTAGCGGTAAATTCAAAAGCATTTTAAACTAAATTCAATTTTAATTGGTCTAATGGAGAAAAAAATACATTAATTAATTAATTTTTATTTTTCTGTTAAAACTTTTGTCCCAATCTTTAAATATGAGCAGTTTTCAAAAATTTTGGAAAATACCCTATTGTATGAGGGTTCCTGTCTCTATACCTTTTTACTCATGTGTGTTTTTAACACAACATCGTGTTGTGACGTTCCCTTTTTTAAATTAAACTTAAATGTTACGAACATTTTTTAACGTATTATTATTTTATTACATACACCAATTCCATAATTTTAACTGAGCGTGTAAGAGCGATCATGTCTTCGATTATGTACATAAATAAAAAAATAAGTATTCTATAACACCATTTGACTATTACTCTCAATTTAGTATTAATGACGATTAAAAAATATATTTACAATGATTTAAAAACATGGAATAAAGATAAAACAGTGCCAAATTTATTAAGAAAGAAAATACCATAATCTTCCAGAGTAAATTGCCTTGCAATCTGGCAACACTAAGAACCGCAATGGACCTCGACGGAGGACTTAAGAAAGAGTTTCAGTATTGCTTAACTTATAGGCCTCTTTTGAGTGTGCTCCTGGTAGGTAGGTAATATATAATTCCTGATACATATTACAAACCCACAACAACACACATATTTAATTTTACAGATAACCGTTTGTCACTTTTATTGTACAAAATAGTTCACAGAGACAAATAGGTTTTTGCAAGTACTTTCTTATTTGTTTGTTGGTAAAGTAAGCATAAAATGTGTGTAAGGACTGTGTACTCGTATAGAATCCATTACCCATTGTATAGGGAATAGTTACCTACATGTGAGAGCTGGCAACTCCGCCTTCAAAAGCTTCCCGTCTCTCACACACGCTCAGTCGTTCTATATTGCTGCCTCGCTCGCACTTTCAATTTGCGGCGACTTCCCTTTGCTGCTTGTGCCGCCTGTGGTCGTAGTTGACTAGTCGCTGACCGACAAGGTATTTGTCGTTTTTGATGTGCTCGTACAATTTACGGAATTGTCGAATCTGCAATAGATATTTTGGTGTAGATTTTTTTGAAAATAGACACTGGGCCACTAAATTTGACATATAGTGTCGATTCTAGCATGATTCTCTATACCTAAACATGAAATTTGACAACAGTCTATCTTTGTTATTTTCTATACAGAATGAAAAGGACAGAATGATGAAAAATTTAGTTTTAGGTTTAGAATCAGGCCAGAATCGACATTAACAATAGTGTATCTATCTCATGTTCTAGAAAGAATGAAAAAAAATGAATGAAAGAACACTTCGCTCATTGAAGTGAGCAAAGTCTTCTCATTAAATTCGCAACTAACTATGTAACACGTAATGAATGTATCTAATTAATTGTATTGGTAGCAACATGATTTTATGTAAATGTTGCTTCTTCTTTTGCTGATAAGTTTCTTGCCCATTCATCATATCAGCTAAAAGATGTCTTGAATAGGCAATAATAGGTAGGAAAAATATTGGAAGATTTAAAAGAGCTAATAAGTCAATTTGAGTAGAGTATAATTTCATTTCATTTCAATAGACTGTTGTCAAATTGAGTTTTCAATTAAGGAGTTTTGTTAGAATCGGGCCCAATAGTAGGTATTCCAATTTTAAAAGTTTGTTACTTTGTTTGTCTTTATATAACTGTTTGTGATATTATACTAAAAAGGTATAGGTTGACTGTTAACTTTAGTCCGAAAAACTTGGATCACATCACATTATGCCCACATATTTAGAGTATCATTTTAGTTTCATTATGTTGAAAACAGTAGAGTCTGTCGCTCGATGATATCGATTCTGAAATTCTTCTATTATAAGAAATGCTAATCAACGCATTGACTCCTTATTCGACTACAGCAAAGCAAAAAATAAAATAAAAGAAGGATAAAAAGTTCAGTTTATTTAAGTTAGTTATTTGAGAGCAAAAGGTAGAACTTGTAGAACTTTACCAAATTAATTAATTATATTAAATGATGAGATTCCTTAGAAATCTACGGTATCTAATTGAGAGGTAAAGTATCTATTTACATTCGCTATCAAAACGTTTAAAACTGACTTGAGTGTTTTTAATAAGATTGATGACTAACTTTTTTTTTCTTCGATCGATCGAGTAGATAATCCAAAAATATTGGACATACGTATTTTTTCTTTTTGCACATAAGTGAAATATTACAGAGATATTTAAATTGATTTGAAATGTCGCATGACGTCACGTCTTTGTACAGTTTTTACTTAGATGTGTCGTCACGAGCGGGGGCTCCCAAACTTTGATGCTCTTTATTCGTTATATATTGGTTGGTTACAAAGAAAAAAATAAAAGTACATTATTTTTTGATAATCTAACTAATGGAATAAATAGAATTTCGTTCGCTTTATCCTGTCATCATCCCTACTGTGCATAAATGGCTTCCTTAGAATGAAGGTGTGATGCGTGTGTGTGTGTATGTTACGTTTTTAACATACCTGGAATACAGTTAGCGCGCATAGAACGGCGCACAGCAGCAGCGCGGGATAAACCCTGCGCGCTAATAGATTCCTTTGCGCCGCTGACGTCACAACTAGCGGCGCGATGCTGTGAGCGAACGCGTAAGGAACCGCGAGCGCCAGTCCTAACCAACACACTATGGGGGCCGCCACCTCCGTCAATATGAACCTACGGTTATAATAATACACCTTATAACACACGACTTAAGGCGTTAATTAAAATTATCATATCATAATAGGATGCTATTAGCAAAAGCGCACGGAACCGCGAGTGCCAGTCCTAACCGACACACTATGGGGGCCGCCACCTCCGTCAATATGAACCTACCGTTATAATAATACACCTTGTTTCGTACACTAAATAGGGTATTAATTACAATGGGGAAGAAAACTGCCAATTTATCCCGAGCGGTAACAAATCGAAACATCTGTCAAAGTCACATGGAAAACCGACAAATTCCTATAGACTTGAGTTTCAAAATTATTATGTATTAAACTGTTACCCCGCGTGTAATGTCCGTCAATGTCACGTAGGTAGCTTCTACGTGTGAATGCACAATCACAACCCATAAAATAAAAGGAGAAGAAGATAGCCTTGAGCAGCGTTCCAAACCTACGCTCGAGGCGAAACAAATGTCAAAGGGCAATGCCCACTTTGTATGGGAATTTGGCCTAACATGAACAGACATTTTTACAAGTAAAACTATACAATGCAAAAAGCTTAGACTACCCAGAACCGTTAAATTATTATAATATTGTATCAGTATCCTTCAAAACAATTTTTAGATTTGCATAAAAAAAGGTAATATAATCACACAGAAGTCATTTTCGCAACGATCTATAATATTCGAAGTCAATATATTACTAATACGATGTCTAGACACTGGGTAGATTTTCTGTTACACAAATAAATAAAATTGAAAATAAACATCTCTTCTTTAAATATGCCGCGAAAAATTCATATTGCGCAATATAGAATGTGACGTCACACGCATAATACCAAATGTCTAAACGAAAAAACGTAGTGTTCTTTTGACAGGTTGGGTGCGTTCCAAACCTAGGCTCCAAGTGCAACTTTTCATACTGATTTCTATTTTGACATAAATGCATGAAACTTCTATGGAATTTGACATTAGTTGCATCTGGTGCGTAGCTTTGGAACGCAGCCCTTGTTAACAGTTACTCGTTATTATCAACGATAATTATCCAGTGCAACCCTGGCGCAAATTACAGTAAACATATCTTGAAGAGAAGGCGCGCGCCAGCATTTTCCTTTGCACGCGCGGTGTAAAGTATTGTCCTCATAGGCTCACATTTAATAGCTGACTGTCCGCTGACTGACTCTGAGCGGCGTATCAATCGTTAACTTGATCTCATGTACGCGCCAAACTATAACGTATTAGCCATGAAGCATTTGCGAATATTAGTGTTCTGAGAGGAATGGTTGTGTTTGATAAATCATTATCTCGATGTGATCGCTGATTTGGAATCATTAAATTAAGATAGATACAAAAAGCACAACTCGTAGCTTCGGGGGGTAGTAACGGCATGATATCTTTAAATACTAAGTCTATGGTCAAGACAAGTTGACTCAGTAAAACTCCTAGTGCTAGACTGATTGACTTAAAATACTCTTAGTATTCGAAAGTATAACATAAATAGTACTTACTTAAGGTCCATTTCTCTAATGCCGTCGCGGTAAGCCTTCTCTATGGCGCGTCGCATGCTCCAATCGGGGCCCATCATAGTGAGAGCACACACGATTTTCGTATATAAAACTCCCAGCGCCCAATCTTGCCAAACGAACAAAACCGGCGATTGTTCGAGGGGCACCCGCAGTGGTATCACTAGGACCTGGCAAATAAAAAGGTCATGGTCAAGTACTATGAAAAATTAAATACGTTTATTGATGTCAACTACACGCAGCACTACTGCATGGACATAAAAATATTCTTTGTCTTCAATATAAATCTACAATGTTTTGTAATATTAAATAGTTTTTTTTTATACCTTCATCCTACAATATTCTTTTCTTCAATAATGTTTTTCAGGCATATTCATTATTCCTTTAATATATCTTATTATTTATACGTTGCGTAGCAAATTACTTCACCCCACCCAATGTTAAGTACAGGTGGAGTCCAGTCGCGAAGATTGATGATACGGCAGAAAATATGCCGCTCCAGACATCCTCACTTTGTCGGCCTAAACCCAGTCCACTGCCTCGCGGAGCTCTAGAACGCTAATCACCAGTAGAAACAAAACACTACCAAAACGTAAGTCCTACTTAACTGTGGTGTTTTGTAAAGTGGAGGTTGCTTCCCCAGACGGGCGCCCGGGTTACTTTTTTTTAGGTTATCTCGTTCGTCTTTTCAGTTATATTTTTCTGGTACAATCACGATTCTCTTAAAATATTTTAATATTGCGATAGTCTTTGGTAACATGCACGCGCGCCGCACCAGCGCCGTGCTGGGCCCGCCCCTGCCCCACACTCACCAGCTCCAGCAGCAGCCCGCACATGAGCGGCACCAGCCCCAGCAGCGCCAGGGCGGCGAGCGCGGCCCGCACGCACACGCGCGCCCGCATGCCAGCGCGCTGCACCAGCGCCGTACTGGGCTCGCCCCCGCCCCACACTCACCAGTTCCAGCAGCAGCCCGCACATGAGCGGCACCAGCCCCAGCAGCGCCAGGGCGGCGAGCGCGGCCCGCACGCACACGCGCGCCCGCATGCCAGCGCGCTGCACCAGCGCCGTACTGGGCTCGCCCCCGCCCCACACTCACCAGTTCCAGCAGCAGCCCGCACATGAGCGGCACCAGCCCCAGCAGCGCCAGGGCGGCGAGCGCGGCCCGCACGCACACGCGCGCCCGCATGCCAGCGCGCTGCACCAGCGCCGTACTGGGCTCGCCCCCGCCCCACACTCACCAGTTCCAGCAGCAGCCCGCACATGAGCGGCACCAGCCCCAGCAGCGCCAGGGCGGCGAGCGCGGCCCGCACGCACACGCGCGCCCGCATGCCAGCGCGCTGCACCAGCGCCGTACTGGGCTCGCCCCCGCCCCACACTCACCAGTTCCAGCAGCAGCCCGCACATGAGCGGCACCAGCCCCAGCAGCGCCAGGGCGGCGAGCGCGGCCCGCACGCACACGCGCGCCCGCATGCCAGCGCGCTGCACCAGCGCCGTACTGGGCTCGCCCCCGCCCCACACTCACCAGCTCCAGCAGCAGCCCGCACATTAGCGGCACCAGCCCCAGCAGCGCCAGGGCTGCGAGCGCGGCCCGCACGCACACGCGCGCCCACATGCACGCGCGCCGCACCAGCGCCGTGCGGCCGCCGCGCGCCCAGCCCGCCGCCAGCGTGCCACCTCGGCCTAGCGCCCAGCACACGTACATACCTGCAAAATACCCCGCAATTCGACTTAACAATCCACACTTAAGCAGGCAAGGTTTTTGCACTTAGAATTTAATTAGATTTTTGAAAATCCCTCAGAAGCGAACCTAACATTTTTCCGAGATTTAAAGTATCCTATGGTATCTATCTATACAGATTTTAGGCTACCCAAACACACTACTGCAATACGAAATATCAAATGTGTGATTAATTATATACGAGTGCAGTACCAGCTTTTCAATCAAAACTAAAAAAAACTCACCACATGCAGCTGTATACAGCTCATGTACACCCTCAGAAGCTTTAGGCAACCAAAGTGCCATGACTTTTCTTCCGATGCCCACTGGAATTACCTGGTAAATAAACAGATAACAAATAAATCATAAACCTTCCGGGTCACTTAATTACTAACTCAAACTATTGCCTGAATGTTCCTTTAGAGCAAGTCTGATTTATAAATTACCCACTAACTGCAACGATATGTAATACCCTAGATACATCAGGTGCGCTCAAAATGTGTACCAATCAAGAAGTGCACGGAACGTTGCAAAGTCAAGCTGTCAAAGAGCTCCGTGAAAAAATACTTATAGTACGTAAAGTGTCCTTTCTTCGACAGGTATCTAATCCATGTTTGTTAATTTAACGCATTTTAAGCAAATTCTGTTCTAATACTTGCTATAAACTGATTTAATAGAAATTATTTGTGGCACCAGTTCATTAAAGATGACTTTGACTTATATTGACTTTGAATACGCGATCATCTTACGGAGCCCCATGGGTCGACCTATGTACATTTTGGACAGGTTTCGACCACGATTTTGTTCGCTTTGTTGTATCGAGGGTATTTAATATCGTTGATAAGTGTATAACGTTTATATAAAAAGTGCCAATAAAAAGTGTTCGGTGGTGTATAAAGTCATTTTTTTTATTAAAATTGGAAGCATAACAACTCCTTTTAATCATCCAAATTATTTCACTCTTCCATTTGTGAAGGACATTTTGTATATCCTCAAATCAAATATAAAGATAACTGGCATTTGCCAGTGCCATATATAACGTGCTAACTGCCCTCAGTATTTTCCTAGAAATTTCTCTACACCACTTAAAATTGGTCCTTTACAACCAGTACTTGGCAGAAGGAACGTAAAGTTTGTTAACAGAAAATAGCTAGTTTTATAATAATACAACATTACAGAAATATAATAGTAATGAGCGGAATTTTGTTTTTTGCAAGTTCTTGATATTAGGCGAAATATCGCTCACACCCAAAGTCCCAAAAAACAAGGTACAATCCCGATAATTACTATAATTTATTTGACTACCAATGAATTAGAAATGATGATGGAAGCATTACTCTAACAAAGACCGCTAAAACATGGTTCCATAGTCATACAGTTAAACTTCAATACTAACGCAACACGCACTCAGACAAAAGAAAATACTTTGACAAATCAAATATCTGCAAACGAATTCATTGGGTTAGATTATGTTAAACGGAAAGCCCAACCAATCCCATGGTCGGCGTGTTGACCGCTGTTTTTTCGCCCCACCCACTTGATCGCAGTTTGCGTGGAACCCATTTTTTAGCGCAGTTCGTATTCCATATCATTTGTAATTCGTTGATTACTCCGAAAGTTAAAAACAACAAATTACAGAAAAAGATTCACTAACCAGTGTCAACGCGCTAGCCAGTACTAAGGAAACGCAGATCAGTACTAGCAATGCGGCCAAACGCAGCGGGAACCACGAAACTCGTACGTACGGCTCGTAGCCAGCGGGTCCGTCACGACGCATTAAGGCCTGCGAATTTAGAAGATCACATGAAAATCTACAGTACTATTTTTCTATTCACACCCTGGCTTAGTATAAAAACAAACTAATATATATATTTTTTTATTTAAACTTTATTGCAAAATAACAAAGCAAATGGCGGACATAATGCCATAAGGCATTCTCTACCAGTCGACCAGTACGAGCGTGAGAAAAAACTAATATGTCGGGGGCGCAATAAATACAATGTTAGATAAATCAAGGATACAAATACTCTTAACAGAATACGCACACATTATACATATATATATATATATATATATATATATATATAATGTATATATGTATATATATATATATATATATATATTTACATCTTCGAAGACTTCTTGCATCTTTACAAACTGCCACCCTGCGGCGTCCACTGTACTCGACGCGATTTTGAATGTTTTAAATGCGTATTTAAGTAGCTATTATTATTATAATTTCTTGAGTCTACGCGAAATTGCATTAAAATATAAAATGCCAATATTCGATTTTAATATTTCCCGGTAATTTAGCGCATCCGTTCACCATCATAACCATACAGCACACTGAATATTTACGTATACCTTCTATGCACTGCTTAAATGCTCCTACCTCCGTCCAAACTTATGTTTAAATTGATTCTGCATAATACGATTTATTTTTACAAAGTTACGTCCCTCAATTTTTAAAAAGAGAGTTGTTAGTTCCGTTTACTGTAGGTACTGTATATTAATAATATTCATCCTGCTAGTCCACCGGCTTCCAGGTACACCAGCACTTATACTGTCTTTGGAGTAGTAAATAGGTAGCCACAATTACTTATTTATGTTCAAAGCTTGATCGTTATTTTTGAGTTTTACACAGGTCATTCGGGTAGACAGGGAAGTTCTTTTTTTATTATACCTTAAAGTTTACATTGGTCCGTACCTTTTTGTCCTTATATTTTTATTTATTAAAGTCATGATCATATTTAAGATAACTTTTTTAGCTCGGCTGGTCTGGAATTTCAAGAGTACCGGTGGGATTCGGGCTTGGTTGTCCCTTGACCCTGTATGTTACGGACCCAACGACAATATAGTCGTGCTCTGTGTACATCGTCGACAACAGAGTCGGAGGGATCCACCAAGGATAACTTAGAATACTGTCCGTTCCGGTGTCTTGCCTGATGCTAGTACTGCCAAGTGTTGTCCAATGGCGATCTGTAAGGTTTTTAGTAAGTAGGCTTATGATCAGACACTGAGCTTGGCCGCAAGTCTAGGTGTATTATTCATTTTCCCAATGTAAAAATTAGTCAGGTTTAATGTCGGTATCCATAATAAATCCTTGTATAAAGGTAATTTGAAAGCAATACAAGCCACCCAGCCTTGTCTTACCTAGAAACGATAATTATAGTTAGACAATAAGAAAAGTTGGTGTAAATAGACTACTTCGAACTAGGTAGGCTCGAAATAAAGAATAAAAATATGTAATGGAAAACGACTTCATGAAATATCTCTGACCTCATTTTTTAATTTGATGACTCTGTATTAAAATAATACCTACAGGGTGAAAAAACAACCTCTTGCTGAGTTTCTTGCCGCTTCTTAGTACAAGCACGGTAATATTATCTATACAGTATTGTGACTCCGCCCTGTCCTTGAAAATAAATGCCTACACCGAACGCTGCGTTGGCACGCGGTAGGCCGCCAGCCTACAGTATTTTATGTAGTTTTGTTTTTAACGCGAGTGTAGGTAGATTACTCGTTCGTCTCTTTTTTCATCCTAACCACTTATTTATATATTATTCCAGATATTTTGCCCGATGGAAAAACCGAAATACCTAAATATTAGAAACAAATAACGTACTAGTAGATAGGTATATAAAAAATATTCTATAAAGGTAAGACACCTTTCCAATATTTCAGGTAATTTAAAAAATGATATCTCTGGGTGTGTTATTGAAGAGTTCAAGCAACCAAAAACAGCAATTGTGCTGTTGTACGATATTGATCGTCGTTTGTTCTTTTCCATACTAAATTATGTAGGTATCTACTTAATTAAATCAAATATTTACAATACATAACGCATGTTTAAGCACGGCTAACTGCATAAAAAATAATTCAGACCGTTCGGTCGTCGATGCGGCGCGGCGGCGCATTCGCGAATCGCGACTGGGTGCACGCCGAGAGCACATCGAACTCGAGTGGCGTAGGTATGACTCGTTTTCCGACCGTTTAAATGAAGATATGATACTGTATGATATTATTACCGTGGTACAGGGTCCCCCGCCGTAGATTTGTATGGGGAGGCTTCTTGACGTACACAGGTGCCGAAAGCCTGAACTAAACAAAAGATCTCACCAAAACATTTTCATGGAAAATGTTGCCAAGACGGGATCGTGTATCACTCGCACGGACAAAAAGTTATCAGATCGCACGTAGAGCCATGCTTCTATCTCTACACGCCCTAACACTAAGACCAATTTTATCAGTGCGGTGACGGAGAAAGAATACAACTCACCGTCCCTTCTCTTCGCGTGGGTGTCGTAAGAAACGAATAAGGGATATCGGAGCTTCCATCCGCTTTGCTGGTGGTAGGGTGCCTAACACCCGCCTGGTTTGTTACCACCGTGCGCATGGTGAAAAACCCGTTAAGTGCTTCTCGCGTGTTTCGGGGTCAGCCAGCGTACAACCAGAGTTCGAGTGGAGGTTGTCGCTGACTGGTTCAGTCTAGGGGAGGCATCTGTCGAACCGATGCCGGGAGAACTGCATCGACCCGCCGTCCAAGGCGACCCGTAGAAACGGCTGTCCCGCTGGCCGCCCTGGCACAGTACAGGGGCCCGCGTTCCTAACCAGTTCGTGAGGCTGCCCTCACGCATAATCTCGGGGTGGACCGTCGTACCGGTTGGTGACTGGGCGTGGGGTCGCGGCGGCCACTCCCGGGGGGGCATCTCCTCTGCAGGCAGTCATTCGGGAAAACAAACCTCCCTAATTTTCCCGAACTCTTCGCGACAACGCCCGCTTGTTTTCACGGCTCTTTTCAATTTCACCATGGCAGCCTCTAAAACAAAGTTTGGGTGTATAGCGGTGCATACCCCCACGCCTTCAATGCTGTTTAAGGTAGAGTTCTGCAACATACGCGGACTCCACTATAACTTCAACGCTGTCCACCACTGTCTTGAGACAGCACGCCCAGCATTGTTGACAGAGACACAAATACTTCCGCCTGCTAACACAGGCTACCTTAACTATCCCGGCTACGGGTTTAAAGAGTCCTTTAAAGCGAAAGCCGGTGTATGCCTGTATGTTCGGGCGAATGTTTGTTGTCGCCGTCTCCGCTGCTTGGAAGATCCCTCTTTCTCTATACTAGTGGTACACGTCGACTCTGGTCCCCAGGCCAGAGTCTACGTGTGCCTCTACAGATCCCATACTTGCGATATCGAGACAACTCGACTTTTCGAACACCTTAGTCAGGCAGCAGATGACGCGCAAGAACAATTTTCCAAAGCAGAATTGGTGTTTTTGGGGGAATTTAATGTTCACCACAATTTGTGGTTAAGTTCCTCGAAAACCAACCATGCAGGGCTCTGCTCACGCATGACTTGAAGCAACTGGTCGATCAGCCCACCAGGATTCTAGATATTTCAAGTCAAGCACCTTTATTACTGGACCTATTGCTCACGACCCATCCACAGGGCTGTCAGGTTGTGGTAAGGGGGCTCTGGGCTCTTCAAATCACTGCCCGATATCTACCAAAGCGCCACAGGCCAAGCCTCCGCGTCCAACGGTGGTACAACGCCGGATCTGTCACTATGGGTCGGCAGATTGGGACGGTATGCGTGACAACTTTGCGTCCGTCCCTTGGAAGCAGCGCTGCTTCAGTGACAAGGACCTATTGTTCAGCGCCGTTGCTATTCTGAGGAGATTGTAATGGTTATGCAATACTATATTCCTCATTCCAATCTCATCAGTAAGGACACACGTAACCTCTGGTTCAATCACCACTGTGCTGAAGCTGTTTCGCGTAAGCAAACGGTATATCGTGCTTGGATCAGAGGCCGCGCTCTTATGGATACCGGGGTCGATTCAAAAAACAGCCTACAATTTTGCTTCCAAGACCTGTAAGAAGGATTACAGCGGATGCCCAGCGCGTTACACATGTTGGTCACGAACTTATAACGCTTCCTTAGGGCTCCCGTAGAAATTAGCGTTTTTCCAAGGCCGTGCAAAAGAACTTCTGCCAGCCCTCGCTGCCACCTCTGAGATGCCCTGACGGAACACTAGCTCATAAGCCACGGGAGAAAGCCGATTTACTGGCAAAACTCTTTGCGGCTAACTCCCGAATCTATGATTGCAATGCACTGCCACCATCCTTACCTCATTGTGGCACAACGATGCCTGATATTAAAATCAGGCAGCGTGAGGTTCGTGTCGAATTGCAATCACTCGACATCCGGAAAGCTGGTGGACCTGATGGTGCATCCCAGTACCCAGCAGTAGTACTAAAAAAATGTGCAGCGGAGTTGTCTTCCGCTCTCACGCGCTTGTACCAATGCTCGTATTCTTTGGGGCGTGTGCCGGAGACTTGGAGAGATGCCAACGTGCAACCGGTGCCCAAAAAAGGGGATCCCTCAGACCCGGCAAACTACCCCAGTCCAGCAGTCACCCCAGTATTATGTAAAGTCCTAGAAAAGGTTCTTAACAACCAAAAAACTGACCAAAACCAAGAGGATCACTCCCTGATTAATGATCGTCAATATGTTTTTAGACCCAAACGATCGACGGGTGATCTTCTAGCTTACTTGACTCATATCTGGGGTGAGGCTATCGACAAGCGGGGCGAGTCGTTGGCTATCAGCCTTGACATTGCCAAGTCGTTCGTCAGCGTCTAGCACAAAAGCATTCTCTCCAAGCTTCCGGTATACGGTCTGCCGGCACAGTTCTGTTCTTGGATAGCTGACTTCCTGCATGAACGTAAAATTCGTGTTCTTACGAATGGTAGCACTTCGCGGTTCTTGTTAGTGAATGCCGGCGTTTCTCAGGGCTCCGTCCTATCCCCACTATCTTTCTGCTGCATATCAATGACTTAATTCCTTTTGGGAATATTCATTGCGATGCATACGATAGTACAGTGCATGCGGGGTATCCCGGACAAGCAGCGGCTGGGCAGGCGGTAACCGCGGTGAAACGGGAGAATATTGTCATTAAATTCAATCAGGCTTTGGACCATATTTCTGAATGGAGTACCAGGTTTGGTTGAGTTCAATGCTAACAAAACCCAGGTCTGCACTTTCACGGCAAAAACGTCGCCATTCCTTTCATGTCTTGGAAACCTGAACAAGGTACGGCGTTTTTTCACGCCCGAGCAATTTAACTATGCTTGTTGTATAAGGAGCAGGTGCGGTCTTGCGTGGAATATTGCTCGCCACTCCGGGATGGCTCCACCACCACGATGCTTTGGATCGGTTACAGCGGCGCGCGATCCGCATTATAGACGATGAAGAGGTGACTAAACACCTAGAGCCTCTACAATTACGCCGTGTCGTGGCGTCACTAAGCACGTTCTATCGTCTGTACCACGGCGAGTGTTCTGAGGAGTTATTCTCTCTTATTCCACTTTCCCCTTTCCTTCAGTGGACCTGTCGCGCTGACCTGCGTTGTCACCGACTAACTGTGGCCACAATTCCAATGCGTACAAAAAATTTGTTGACTCATTTCTTTGTGGCATTATCCGTTAATGGAATGCGCTGACCGCTAACGTATTCCCTCCCTCTTACAACCTGTGATTTTTTAAGAGGTGTGAAGAAGCAACACGCAGGCCGGCAGGGTAAGGATGGCTGGTGTGGCAGGTAGAACTGCTGTATCAGCTATCTTCGCGTCTGGACTTCACCGGTACTTATATAACTCGAGATTTTTTTATGTGGATAATCCAAACCCTACTTATAAAGGTCCACTAAAACGACGAAGCACTTCGGGAAAAGAAAAGTTACGTGGAGCCCTTGCACTTTGCTTGGCTCGTCTTGTCATGTTGGTGGGGGGCACGGTTGCGTTGATATTGAATTTGAATTTTGAATTTGTATAGGTTATAGGGAAGGTGAATACGTGTATACATACTAAGTGATAGTGAAGAGGTAAGGTTAATTGGGATTTCAAAAAAATCAATGATAAAAATTAGCAAATGGTGCATAGGAATAAGCTTAAGTTAATTTCAGTGACATATTTAACAAGTTTTCTAGATGTGATATTATAAATACCATAACAAAGGCTGAACAATAATACTGTATACTTAACAATTTAACCAACAGTTCTCACAAGAATTCTCTGTAGGTAGGTACATTACGACAAAATAACAAATGAATCACATTCTTAATAAAATAGGTGCTAATAATTAACGTTGTTAAAGTTCTCTCGATCATTAATATCGATTAATCGTGTAGGTTCATCATGTACCTACATTATAAAAAATCGAAAACGGAAACAAAACAATAATATTCTAAAAGTTATCAATTAGATAACTTTCTTAAATTCACTAAGGTCTATTTGCAGCAAATTAGCTATAATAATAATTTTCTCTTCATTGTTTTACGTTTATTTACTTCTATCAAATAATACGATAAATTTCACTCCGGTAATAAGTTTGCGTCCACGGAGCACGGATCTGTATACAAACACACGCGACCCGTAGGACGCCCAGTTTCGGCTGTCCCATGCACCCAAAACGGGCCCCTCAGGTGTCGCGCTCTCTCGCAAATTAAGATACCTACTGGATGCAAGATGATCATCGTAGAGAATTGATAAAAACTTTTTTAAATATATACAGGAAGACGCAATAAAATCTGTAAATTGAACCCGAAATATACATTGCAAAATATACACTGCACGGTAGCGCCCTCCAAATTCCGGACGGTTAATGGTTGAACTATGAAATACGTTAAAAAGCATTCTGGTGATAAAATTGAGTCCACGCCAAATTTTTGCCCATGCATTCTACGCATGAAAAGACGCCTTTGCACAAAAAATGAGGCTAGGTTAATCTTGCGTCCGTATACCGGACGCATCAAGTCGGTCGGACGCAGGATCAATAGCAAAAATCGCCATATAAGACGCAACATGATCAGCAAGATGTATATATATATATATATATATATACATATACATAGATACAATACATACATCAGTTTACGATTATGTCAGTCAAATATGAGAACGCTGTTTAATGCTATTGAGATCATAGTGCTCACGAACCATTCCCCTAAATACAAGTTTGTTAGGAGCTTTACGTATAATGGGGGGCAAGTCATTCCAGAGTCGTACCAACATTGACGTATAAAAACAAGTAGGCTCACAATCACAAAAGATGTCGGAACCAAAAGTTTCTGTGTTCTTATCAGTCGTATTTCGACCGCGCTTTGATCACAACGCTACGTAATGGTGACAATTCTTGCACGATTCTCTAAACTTAAAACTTAAGGAGATGGTCCAAACTTGTATGTAGGGTGGTATTAAGCCTCTGGTCAACTTAATTTTTTTATGAGAGATAGTGCACTTTATTTTAAATCGTTTCACAAAAAACTAGTATTTATTTTATCTTTATTTTATTTTAAATAATTATTATAATATGACATTATATAATAATTTTTGTTGCTAAATCATAAAATATTTCTATTTGATTAGTACCTAATGCAGAATTATTCTATTCATCTTTCAATAAATTATTAGGTGTTTTGTGGGTATTTTATTTCTAGAAGAGTCAATCATAAATTGGTATGAGTTTAACACGATTTCACGAATACCATGCATGACTGAACTAATTGACATTTACCACAGTGATTGAGTTGACGTTATAATCTGCCACGCACTTAAAATATGACGTAATTTATGACAACTGGCCAGCATTCATACAATATTGTTAAATTATTATACACGATTTTAAATAGAAATATTGCCGATAATTTACGAAGCTGTGAAAAATTCGCGTTTCCACCGCGCTTTAATTACAAAGCAACGCAATAACAAAGTATTCGGTAAAAAACTGGGCAAATGACGGCAAATCCATGCTTAAAAAGGATGGTTCGTAATTTAGTTAAAACTACATCGGGCGTCTTTTTATGCACTTGTGTTAGGCGATTGGGAGTCTACTTTTTTTACGACTATTAAAGTTATAATTTACTATGAAAATCTGTCTATCTATACATATAATAAAATTGTAGGAAAGTCAAAACTGTATATTAAATATTGTTTTAAAAGAATACTTGGGGTGTGATCTGCAATTGAGACCGAAGCCAAAAATATAGTTTTTAGAATTTTTGTCTGGGATAAACTCAACAGGACTGCATGGATTTATTACAAATTTGGCACGAATATTACTAAGTAGTCGGGTTAACATATAGGCTACATATTATCACGCTATCACCTATGGGGAACCAGCAGTGAACCTTTATTTCTAACTAACTCCACGTGTACGAAGTCGCGGGCGGCCGCTAGTATAACTTTAAATGTCTAGCCTAGACTAACCTCATGAGCAGCTCCCAAATGGTGTGGTGGATGTGGTGGCGGATTAGGGTCCACCTGCCTAGCCGCTTCACCGAGCAAGTACGATCGGAGCCCTAGGACTCCGGAGGCACACAAGCACCACGCCCGTAGACCGGCTTTAAGCCACGTACGAGTGTGGGACTGCTCCAGCAGAGCTGGAAGGATTACCTTAAAGGAAGAAGTACAAACCAAATTTATTGCACCAGCCGTAACATCCTAATCCTTCCTAACTAGTATAATAAATTCGAAAGTGATATTTGTTACAAAATCTCACAAAAACTATAGTTTGTTTCAAACGAATTTAGACCAAAAGTCAACAAACAGGTAGGTAAGGCTGACCAAAGACAGTTTAATGTTAAGGATTCATAAACCCTTATCAAAATTAATTGATCAATTGAATGATCATAGACTTAGAAATTGTTAAAATTCTATAAGGCTTAATTTGTAACATTAATAATTTTTTATCGTCATTACTCAAAAAAGAGTTCTGGCTGTTAAGTGTAGTTGGCAATATAGTTAACTATATTTCGTTACTTAATAAAATTCTTTTTGAACGATTGGTTTGCGAGATTTATTGAATATCTATCTATTGGTCGTAGGCTCGCGAGCTCACAGTATCATTCTGTTGAACGTTCTGCATTCACTTTAGTTACTTCATTCAACAGTGGGTTTGTTTTACCTTTGATCTAAATTCGCTTGAAACAGACTATACTAAACGGATTTGGATGAAATTTGGTATGCATATATTTTATGACCTGGGTTAAGACATAAGACACTTTTTATCCCAGTAAAATATTAGGTTCCTGTTGCATTCTCAAAAAAAACTAAGTTAATGCAGACAAATTCACGGGCGGCTGCTAATAAGATGATATTTTAAAATTTTCCTTTATTTATTCAAATGATGATTGAAGGCAAAACGTTAGTTAATTTGTTATATTGTTTTAAACTTTCATAGTCACTAAAATTCATAAATCTTTGCTATTAGCAGGATTGCTACCATTTAATTTTTTTGGAATCAATCCCGCTAATAACAAAAAAAACTGTAATATTAGTTTATTTGTATTCTTCTCAACAAACAATTTCATTTCTACTCATATCATGAAAGTGCACAAAAAATTACTGGAGATTATGGGCTGTCCGACATATTGTTTTTACAATGACTTATGTAGCTAACATACAGCTCAGAAGATTTTATTGTATCATTGTTTTGGAGAGACTAATATGTATATCCTCGCTAAATTACACCTTTTGACAGACGACAGACAAATGGACAAACCAATCCTGTAAGGGTTCCTTGCTGACTTTGGAACCATTAAAAGAAGGAATGATATCTTAGTTTACTATTAAAAAAAGATTCTAATAATTTTGAAACAAATAACAGTTTAGAAAACATTCATATCAAACACGCGACATCGCATGTTAATGTTGCTATTCAATTAACTTGATCCAACAATGGTTAAGTTGCATGCATCACAGACTAGACTATATTATAATACTCTGCGTGATGTACTTTTTTAACTGATACAATATCAAATTAAGTAATAAAAGTTATGAGCTTATTACTATAGCAACCTCAGATTATAGTTTAATGTTACCACTGTATAACAGTTCATATTGGAAATCATGATCTAAAGCGAAAATATTAAACACTAGCTGCAATCCGCGTTATAGTTGGCTTGCTACTTTTTTTTTAAATCCCACAGAAATTATATAATTTTTCCGGGATAAAAGGAATCCTATGTCTCCATCTAAGTATTAAACTATTTGTTTGCCAAATTACAGTAAAAAGCAGTTCAGCAGTTTTTGCATGATTAAGAAAACATTTTTTTTTACATTAATAATATCTGTAGAAAGTAGGACTGTTATATAACACCTAAAATGATGTTAAGCTGTTGCTAACAAATTATGCAAATAAGTAATCTTTAATGAGGTTGTTTGAAAGTCGAGTAATACATAGCTACATGTCTATAATATATTATTATAATTACAGTCAAAACCGGATATAACGACATTGAAGGGACCATATAACTTTGATGTTATGTCCGATGGTTGTTATAAGCAATATACAAAACTAATCATATTATTGTCATAATGTATGTATGTAGTATGGTTATAGATAATGAATATAAGCTTGTTTTCAAATGAAATATCGAAAAAAGAAGTAATAAGTTTACTATGAAACAATTTTAGTACCTACAGTATATTTTGTTTTGCTGGAACAAGTAAAACGCTAGGTCGTTATAACCGATGAATATCGATATAAACTTCATCAATATTCATTGGTTATAAGTTGTTTTAAGCGGTATTTCAGTATATCCTGTGTTGTTTCCTTATGGATTTATATAGGGTTTCGGTCGGGACCTTGCCAATTGGTCGTATAACAGACACGTCCTTATAAACGATGTCGTTATATTAGGTTTTGACTGTATGTGATTTCCAAAATAAAGATCATACTCACTTGCAGCAGTAACAATTCAAGACTAAGCTCATTGACTGGTGCTTCGGTGTGGACTGCCACAGCATATGGCAGGAAACCAGGCAGAACATATTTGATCACACGGATCGGCAGCCACAACATGAATAGAACCGCAGTACCGAATATCATAGCCGATACAACCAACCGGCGAATGTGTGACCATACAGATAGGTGAATCATTTCCTTAAACAAAAAAATTATGGGTAATTATGACATGATAGACAATGAGTGGTGTTTGTAGTTCCATGGCCTAACTAGAGATAAGCTCCAGGCAAATGAATATAACCAAGTCTTGCCTTATATCAACAGTCATGTTGAAAGACTTTTAACTTTGAATATCCGTAATTGGCATTAAGATAAACTATATTGTAAAACCTGTATTATATTAAGAAAATGCTGTGGATTTTTGTTTAGAATTAAATATATAAACTAACAGTCTCTAACTACAATTTAGAAAAAGTGAATAAATAAGTTTAATTTCCAAAAGATATAAATTCAGTTTCTCAAACAATGTAAAATAAAAGGTATTCAAACTGTGAAAATGTAGTATGTAATTTAAGATAATTTTGTATAGTCAGACAGATATGAAACATTATTTTAATTTAAGTCTCTTTGACACATGTTTCATATAATGGGAGATTTACAATACATCAATTAATAGTCATTGATTTCAGTAATAAGATAAGGATAAATCTATATTCATTTGCAAACTCATATTACCTGAACAGGGCTAAAATCAGGATCATTTAAGTTCTTCAAGAACCACAGGACACCAGGTCGTAGCACTTCTCTCAAGAGCAAAATGAATGATGCAAAGTAGTAAACATAAACCATGCCAACAAGCCAGTGAATGAACATGAGAGTCCAGGGGGCAGCTTGGAGGATTGATTCACGATCTTTCAAGGTTGCATCGAACATGGAGAGAGAGCAGAGGTCAAGCCACCAACCACACACAAGTGGGATGACTCCAATCTGTTGAGCAATAAAAAGCATTATATATAATAACAAATAACATATTTAAATAACCTCTAGATAATGAATAATGAGGAGCTTGGTGGTGCAGGTGAATAGCACATTGGGTCTGTGATAGTGTAAGCAACTTTCGCAATGGTCAATGATTGGATGGATGATCAAAAGTTTTATCTCGAGCACCGCAGTGGTAAAAAGGCATGTTAAGCTGTTGGTCTCGGCTGCATCTGCAGTTACTAGCACCCACCAATCCGCACTGGGCCCACATGGTGGTTCATGGCCCAATCTCCCTATTTCATCTATAGGGAAGTCCTGTACCCCAGCAGTGGGGACATTAATATACTGCTGATGATGAAGATGAGATAATGAATATGTATCAGAGTTAGGCATGAAAAACATAAATTAACAATTTGGTTTTGATTTGTACCTAAATCCACCATTTGTTGGTGATTATTGTCTGGAAACAAGTACAAGTGGTACAAATGTCCAACTCTTATCATACACATTGCCAAATGCAGTACAATATAGAATGTCAAGAGTTAATATAGGGGCTATATGTCTAACTTTACCACTTTTATCTTATAAGGTATAGATAAAATGTCAATTCTACTTATATCTCTTTCCCAACTATGAAATTGCAACGAATGGGGAAACCACAATTCAGCCCCTGTTCCTTTATCTAGCTAATTTTAATTTAGTTTCAAGACAATGGTGTAGATTCTGGCATGATTCTCTAAACCTAAACTTAAATTCAATAACAGTGTATCCTTGTCATTCTCTAAACAAAATGAAAAGACTGAGGTTAAATATAGTTTCAAGTTTAGAGAATCATGCCAGAATCAACATCAGTGTAATACTATTCTAACTAATACTCCCATGCTGTTATTATAAACTCATAGTATTGTCAATTTTATTCAAAAAATTTGTAATGAACATAAAATAATGTTGCCTCTTGGAATTGATAAAATCATTTTTATTTCAATTAAGTACAGATATTATAAAAATGTAGTATATATTTCATTGCTTTATTTAGAAAATTAATCCTGAATAATGACTTGCAACATCTGTAACAACAATTTCATCATAAAGTACCTCCTCAGTGCAACATCCTTAAATTCAAGGCCCAGTGAGCAAGTACTCAATCGTACAGGAAATTTATTGAAATTTGCCAGTTGTTGTTGCATGTTGAATTAAACACTATCCTGTTTTCTCTTATCACTATCCAGCATATGAAATAATTAAAAATGTGACTTACCTCAACAACAGATAGAAGAGCTACTTTCACAACAATATAGCAGCATCCTAAAGGTTTCTTTGCACTTCTGAGCCGTAATAAGGATGCTACTCCATGGAGCACTGCTAATATTGCCCCCACCAGTACATAACCAGCTAGTGCAGTCAATGGTCCAGCAAAAGGGCCTTCTGTGGTGAATCCAGCTAATGCAGCTCCAAGTCTTCCAATATGGTATGGGCAGAAAGCAAAGACTACTATGAACAATGTGTTCAATGAAACTACCCAGAAGACATGCTCCAAAAACACCATTGATCCATCTAACCCAAGTAGACGTGCCCAAGTCAGTTCTTCAGCTGCAGCACGATCCCATTCCAACCAATTGGGCTCATCCCCCACTAGTGGAGCTTCACCTCCTTCACCATTAGCCTCATCCCTGGCTCCTTCTTCCGCTGCTACATCATTCACTCTGTCATTATTATTATCAGGTAGTGGTATATCTTCAGCAGCTGGTGCTGGCAATATTTCTCTTTCCATCCAATCTGGTCCACCTCCATGCATTATCTGCTCTCGCAGCCAAACCAAACCGATAAATGAAAATACAGTGCATATCACAACAAAACATCCTGAGAATACATCTTTAGCCAGGTTTTCAGCTGACACAATGTCAAACGGTAAGGATATCACTGGATCTAAAGAACCCGAAAACAAGCATCTATAGGTCCGGCAGGCCGTGAGAGGTACGATACCTAGCCATGCGAGGGCAACTAAAGTGTAATGCAGCCAATCTTTTACAGCAGATGCTACAGACGTCACTAAGCCTCCGACAACGTCGCGGATGGGCAGCCTCCGAGGCATATCAGGTGAGTAAATCGGCATAAAAGAGAAACGGTGGCCACACAACTCGCAAATCTCCTTCCGTGAATAGCGCATCCATTGCACAAGGCACTCTTGATGAATCCATTTTATTGAGCCCGTGCAAATACAGGGATGGAACAGAGGTCGGTCAGATGAAGCCTCTGATCTGCAGAACCGGCAGAAGTCCGCGCCGGAACCGTCTGAGTCCATCATATTCTTCAATCCAGTTTGACTGATGTGCAGCAATCTGCGAAAATTCACACAAATGGTTTGCACGTTTTCGTGGTATTTCTTCCTAAGTCGAAACACTTAAAGAATGCAGACACATACCTTGTATTAAAAATAAAATTTTAATAAAAGAATAAGAAATTTACGAGAAATTTATAAAGTATTATTCAGTAAAATAATGCTAAAATATGACAAAAAATCTCTATTTGTTTGCGATCTACACGAAAAAGTGCACAGCACAAGGGATAGGGAGCTATACAACAACGATTTAGCGGCTGACCGATAAACTACGATAAACCGATTATTCAAAATATCAATATCGGAGATCCTCCGATATCATTATATCGATATCGTAACACACTAAATATCACTCCAATGAGCCGCCTGACCATAGTAGTAATGCCACTAAAATGTGGAAAAATAATTTCTCTATAAACACTCTGCCGACTATGAAGTCTGTATGTATGACTCTGAGCCCATTACGCAACCTTTTATAATATGATTAAATCATAAAAAGAACTGCCGCAACAGTTATTGAAATATTATTATTTTTGCGTACGATACTAATTTTTAATTCCTTTGACTGGATTATAGTATTATGAATTTAAATTGATGAAAAGAATGAACTTTGATGAGACCCGCACTTGATTATGTTGCTTTTTCCGCTTACAGTTCAACTTTTCACGACACTATTGTAATATGTCAAAACGGCCACCATAGCGTGCCGCGACTACAATACAAGCCGTTTTAAAAGAATAAATAATATACCAATCCATATCGATTTTTTAGCAATCGATATATCGAAATTTTCTATACACCTAGCATCCCTACACGGCACAGAATAATACAAACTCGAATAACATCATGTACCATAATAAAGATATTGTCGCACAATGGTCGCTCATGATCGCACTTTACTTTTAAAAAAGGGTCATACTGTACCCCTAGCACGATCCATTATCGAATTCGAATAGTTTGCGAGTCCGAAATGTCATTGTCAAATATTGTATGAAAACTTGAACAGCAGCGCCACAACGAACGTAACGAGAACTAAAAATCAATACATATTTGACAATGACATTTCGCATTCGCAAACTATTCGAATTCGTTAATGTTTCGTGTTAAGGTTGCTGATTCTGGGAATTTCTCTAAGCTCAAAATTAATTTTGACAGAAGTCTCTTTTCATTCATTCTCATAGAGCATGACAAAGAATTTTAAAATGGGACACATAAAGCAACAGCAACAGGGAGCACACGGGTAGCTTTCCAAATACAGCATTATAGCGCATTATGCGGCATAATGCTTAACGTTCAGTGTTTCAAGTACAGCAACGTTTCGCACAATCGAGCACTCTCAAAAGTAATGCTCTCGTGTTATGCGTGCAATCGTACCAACTCAGAGACAGAAAATTAACAAGTGTTTTTTCTTTAAGTTGGCATTGATCGAAATGTTTTATTTATATGTTATCGTTAGTAATATTATTTATTGTTGAAAAATTATTAAAACTTTTGTTTCATTATAGTTTTTTTTAAACAATCAAAGTTAATTCAAACTGTGTTAAAAAATTAAATATAAATATGGATGAAGGTACAAACATTGACTTTTTTTTCAACACTGAACTTAGCGCACTCTGCTGGTGCATTTGAACACTAATTTATGTTCCAATTAAGCATCAGCATAATTCGGCATTGTGCGCCACTGAGTCGCATTATGCTCTGTAATTGGAAAACCACCATGGGTAGCTTTCCAATTACAGCATTGTTGCTCTATGTTTGAACAGTTAGACCCAAGAAGCTTATATACAACACTGGAGATTGCAGTGCAAACAATACCTTGAAGTGAAAAAATATGGCCTTGAATGACGTCACATATGTTTGTTATCTCTTTCTAAGGGTGGCCATGTTGGAATTTACGTTTAGGATACATACTTACTGGTATCGTCTTTAAACAATTTATAAATCAAAGCGTTGGAGTTGATAGGAACTTGGGAACACATTATTTAATAGTAATAAAATTCACAAGTACAAAAATCATTTTATTCATATTAGATGCGTCTTATATTATGCAATGTCAAAAACGTTTATAAAAAAATAACGAGAAAGAATATGCAAACCCTTTTTAAAATCGCCAGAAATGCCTTCTACTAAGAACGGACTAGAAACTTTAAGCTACATATTTTGGCTGATAAATAAAATTGACCTTTTAATGGTATTGTTACGTGTCGGGAAGGGGTGCGAAATTATATGCCAGTTCACGATTGACAGTTCTTTATTCACCACACAGTTCACACAATTAACACACAATGTTAATTACAAAACACTCACTAAACACTGTATTTCACTGTACAAGTCTCTAAACAATCTCACTTGAACACTTTTGTTGCTCTTTGATCGCCTTTGGATTCGCTCCGAAATCGCTGTTGAAACTCAACTACGCCGATCGATGCATTCTAGAAAGTAAAAAAATGTGTGCGTGTACTAGTGTACACACGTAAGAAGTGAAACTTCTTTATGGCCTTATTTTTCGAAAAATGATCTACATGCAACTTTCCAGAAATTGGTTAAATAAAGTTAAATTAGATAAAGTTTAAACAAAAGGATTTTATTATCATAGACATGAATACAAATTACTGCCTATGAAACTGTTATGATTACACGGCTCAGTAATCTAAGGCACATGTTCCACCTCCGACGATGAACGATAAGCGAGTAGAAACTAGAAACGAATTGGCCGTCCTGAGTTAAAATGCACGCGCACGGCTTTTGACAGCCAAGCCAGCTTAACCGAGCGAGTATAGCTGAACGAGTATCGTTGAGCTAGTATCGTTGAGCGAGAATCGCTGAGCGAGTATCGCTGGGCTAGTATCGCTGAGCGAGTATCGCTGAGCGAGTATCGCTGAGCGAGTATCGCTGAGAGAGTATCGCTATGCGAGTCTTATCTTTAATAACTATTGTCACTCAGCTACAAACGAGTAGAGAGAGTTCTCGCCGGCGACAGTGTGATCATTCAGCTATCAACTATTAATATAAAAAAAGATGGCGCGTAACGGAAAAATGTGACGCGTAACCGAAAAATGTGACGGTAAATTTTTTTCCAACGCCGATAAAGAAGTTTCACTTCAATAAATAAATAAATATTTCCAACACTCACACCAATTAGCCTAGCCCCAAAGTAAGCACTATAAGGCTTGTGTTATGGGATACTAGGGTAACGGATAGAATACATAAACTGTACATATATAAGTATATTTTATTTATAGAAATACATATTAAACATCCATGACTGGAGTACAAATTCAGCAAACATCTGTCCCCACCGGGATTTGAACCCGGGACCTCTCGAGTCGGCGACACCATGAAACCCGGCGTACAACCAACTCGACCACGGAGGTCGTCGAAAGTCGAAGTTCTAGAAAGTACCTGTTAAATTAAGAATTACCTAGCACCCGCGAGTACGAAATAACTACTTATACCTATGCAAGTAACACGCATAACTTATAAACAAGTGCAGATATCGTTTTTTCTCTCTTTTACGTCGCACTGCATAAGGCTCATTTCAGAATGAGCCGCCTTACTCGACTTCTATTGCGACACGCGGTGCTCTGGCAAATTCGATCACTGGCACATTCGCGGTTCCGTTTCGAGAGCGTTTGTGACAGTATAATGGACAACCAAGAATTGCTTTTAATGACATCTTTCGGGAAGCTGAAACATAAACAAAGGTATAAGACCGCTGCTAGATAGCTGTTATTAAATAGGTTTTCTACATCTAATCAACATGATCTACTACAGTACTTATTATAAACTTATTTTCATATTTTGAACTTTGTAATTAATATTTGCAATAATACTTATGTATTATAACTTTCTCAAAATATCTCAAGTGTAGTGATAATGGTTACCCTACAAAACCAGGGTAATAAAAAATTTATATTATTTTAATTTAATAAACTGCTGAATATGGTACCAAATGTAGTGAATAACACAAGAATAACGTTAATTTATAGCCTCAGGACACTATGATTTATAAATACTAACGTTTTATTATGATTACAACATAAAAATATAGGAATATGTTTATTTCGGTATTGGCGTAATGTAATACACTTACCGTTGGAACGTAGCCCTGTCTATCTATCAACTGTCACTGTCAAATGCCACTCGTTTGGATTAAATTGTTACGGTACTTCACTTAGCTATTCATATTTGCTTTGTGTAAAGGCAACAGTCTACCTTTACCATGCTTTAAGCCTATGCTAGACGGATGTAATCCAGGGTCCCAAAAAAGTGACCTTGCCTGTTGCCATCCATCTAGACGAAGAATGTAATCCAAATTTTGATTTGGCCTTCAACGTCCTTGGATTACGGGCGCGTGTTTTCATCCGCGGTTGGAGCGCGTGAATTACAACCGTTTAGTCGGCGGTTTACATCCGCGTAGCCGAAAAGCATAACGCGGACTGAAACCAACTTCCCACCAATTGTCACCTTGGTTGGTACGCTGGATTACATTCGTCTAGAATAGGTCTTAGTACGAATGAAAAGTCACACTGAGTTCTCAAACGAATAGCCAAGTGAAGTGCCGGCATTAAAGTGTCCACAAAATTAAAAGATTGTCATGTGGATGTGAGTTTATTTAACTTTTACTCAATTTTATTGCTGGTTTTTCGCTACTGAACGAATTGTATATTCAATAAAAAAGTGTGTATTATTTGTCAAACTTGCATAATTGCTTTTTAAACTCAGGGCTCAAAACACTAAGATATTTATCATTTTGTATTTTTTATTAATATTGTATTTCATTTCTGCTTTTTGTTTCAGGCTAGTTTAGTCAACAATGGCTTAAAATACCTATAAAAATGAGTTCCTCTAAAGAAACAATTGTAAAAATAGAGGAACTTAGCAATGGAAGGGAAAGTCAAAAAACTACCATTAATATCTTATGCTTAGATATTACTCACTATAGTCAATTGACACAGTTTGGATTATGTTCTGCATTTGTGTTTATATGTTATTTAGCATATGGATATTTCCTAGAATTAATATTCACAGGTCCAGAAGTTAAACCTGTGAGTTTATATATAACATTACTTCAATTTTTAATTACAATGGTCTTCAGTTATGTAGAATCATTAATAAGGAACCCTATCAAAAGGAAGTAAGTATAACTATTGTTTACTACATATTCAATACTAGTGGGTGCCTGTAATGTGAAAAAATCATTTTCGTACAAACTTGCAACCTCTGTATCACTCCCTTAAAGATTGATTTATAGGATAAAAACTACCCTATGTCTTTCCCCAGGACTCAAACTATATTATCTCTATACCAAATTTCATCTAAATTGGTTCAGCGGTTTAAGAGTGAAGTGGAGACAGACAGACACACTTTTATTTAAAATATTGGTATGGATTACAAGGCACATAATTTTATTGATGGCAGTCAAATCATGCTGAATTTCTCTGTATCAGGCGACATCTATATTTTCAATTGTTCACATAATATTTATCTACTCCATTAAATAAAATCTGTTTTTCAGAGTGCCCATAAGGACATATGCTATTTTGGCAGCATTAACTCTAGGTACCATGTCGTTTTCTAATTTAGCTCTAAGCTATTTAAATTACCCTACACAACTGATTTTCAAGAGTTGTAAACTTATTCCTGTAATGATTGGAAGTATTATAATATTAGGAAAAAGATATGGTTTCTTGGATTACATAGCAGCCATTATTATGTGCATTGGATTAACTATGTTTACATTAGGTGAGTAATTCATTAAATAGTTTTTGCCCTTATCTATGAATAGCTTTGATATCTATAAATCAAGCAGCTTGCTGGTGCTGTGATTAGAGTTTGGCTGGTAGTGCGAAAGATAAGCAACTACCACTACAGCGGCCCCAGCATGACAGGTCCATAATCATATTGTCATTGTTAAATTTTGTATCAAATGAACCAGTTTGTTCATATGTCTGGTAGTTTTTTTATAGAAACTGGTTGGAGCTGTCAAAATTTGTGCTCGGGTCTCATATGTGTTTTGAAAGTTTTGTCTATGGTCCCTGCTGCAGTTATTAGCACTCGCCAACCGGAACTGGCCTTCTGGAAGTCTCAGTAAATTGAATTTATTTCCCTCTAAAATACTATTGAAAGAAGTCAGGACATCATACCACAAATAGGTCAATAGAAGCTTCTAACTCCTCTCATCTGGGAGGCATGTCCTGTCTGTATGATATGTCATGTATGATATTTTTACTTTTCAGCTGATTCAAATACATCTCCAAATTTTGACATAATTGGTGTAATTGTAATTTCATTGGCACTCTTATGTGACGCTATCATTGGTAATGTACAAGAGAAGGCCATGAAACAGTTCCAGGCCTCCAATAATGAAGTAGTGTTTTATTCTTATGCTATTGCTTGCATATATCTTGTGGTCATCACCGGAGTGTCTGGAATAATGACAGCTGGATATATTTATTGCTCAGAGGTAAATCTTATGACATCCAATAAGTTATATTCCATTTATTATATTACATATTTTATAATTATTGTTTATATTTATGTAAATTTTGAGATTTCATTATTGTTTTTATGTTGGACTTGATAACCAATCAGTTAAAGATAAAATATATCACTTAAATTATGTATAGGTAGTTAAGCTAGGCAGGACTGATGCCCATCCCCATGCAAAATAAGCACTAGGTGTCAAGTTGCGGAAACAGCCCGCCGTTCTACTAAGACTAGTTCTACTGTAAATTAATCAATATTCAAATATAAACATTAACTTTAAGGTACAGACGAAAGATGAATATATTAAAATTTATTCCAGATGCCTGTAAAATTATACACAAACATCTTCCTTCTAAGCTTAAGTGGATATATGGGTTTACAAGCAGTTCTGACACTGGTGAGGATCTGCGGAGCGACTGTGGCAGTCACTGTCACAACCATGAGGAAAGCACTGTCAATCATCATATCCTTCTTGCTATTCAGCAAACCTTTTGTCTTCCAGTAAGTTGGGAGTACCATTTATTATATTAATGCACACTTTATACTAGAGATAGGTACTTTTATTTTGCAAGAAAGCTTTTTCCATAATAAGTATTAAATAACAAAGTCAAGAGGCCTGGAAAATTGGTCTAAAAACAATCTTTACTTGCCACACCAGCCATCCTCACTTTGCTACCTTGTAAGCTGCTTCTTCATGCATGCTTTAAAAGACCATGAGTTGAATGATGGGAGGACATTCCAATAGGCTTTTTGACAGTATGAAGAATTAAGTACCAATTGTTAGCTTCTGTATTTAATATAATTATATAAACAGAGATTTTTATGTTCTGAGAGAACAAATAATTTGGGTTTTCGAATAAATCATAAGTTTTTTTCTATGGTCACGTAAACGCCTGGGATTGGCGAAGACTAAAATGACGTCACACGCTAGTAAAGTTCCGGTCAAAGTGACATTACATTGTATCGTTTGGCGCTATAATGAGTGAGTGAGACGCCATAATGTCCAGAGAGACGTTTCCGTGGCAACTTGAAAAAGGAATTTTTGATTTCACTTTTTATGGACTTCATAAATATTAGTAAATAGCGTCAGATCGTTTTCTCAATCTTGTTAAACACCCTAAATTACAGTGCAACAAAGAAATTAGTCACCAAATCTCTTTGTTCACGTTCAAACAGTAAGTCAGTGATTACATCAGCCAGTGAGCGTAGTCTTCTGAAAGAAAAGACAAGGGGGTATAAGGGAGAATAACTCCTCGGAACACTCGCCGTGGTATAGTCGGTAGAATGCACTTAATGATGCCACATCGCGGCATTATTTTAGAGGCACGAATTTGTAATTAGCTACCTCTTTATCGCCAATGATGCGGGCAGCGCGCCTCTACAACCTATCCAAGGCATCGAATAAGTACTTAGCGGAGCTACGTGCAATATTCCATGCAGGACCGCACTTATGTCTTGTCACACAGCACCCCAACTAGAGACCGCATACAACCCCGTGCGCTAAGCTTAGATATTGTATTACAACTTAAGCAGGTACAGTCTGTCAATAAAGTCATGAAAAAAAGGAGGTCGCTACCGTCGCTTAGATGGTATCGCCGTTATGCATCGGCTAAAACGCTTTGATATTTGTTTAACAGAACTATTGTATAATTATATCACTTCCATAAATTTAATTTTATCCGAGTTTCTATCTTATCATCATCTAAGATTTTTTTCTGAACCTGCATGATACTTTGCCGGAATTTAAAAAAATCTACTAAATTTTTTCTAGTTAAAAATTTATTTAAATTTATGAATATAGCAGATTAATGCTTAAAAAAATAAAAAACTATAGTAAAATTATCAAAATTTGTCCTGCTTTTTGAAGGTAGGTCTAACCTTCAAAAACTACTAAAGGTGGGAAAAAAGAAATATTTTGGTCTATTTTATCAATATTATCTATATTATATTCTATATATCACGGGAGTAGCATTCATTTATATTTATTTATTTATTCTCAATGTTTACTTACCGGCTAGCTTTGCTGTTTGACCTTAAACGTCGTCAAATTCGTAAAACGAGCTTTTCATTTGAAATAAGGTCTTAGGTTTTAAACTTAAAATATGACCTGCTTCGCACCGCTCGTATAAGTAGTCTGATTAGTCGTTTATCTCGTAACGGTCAAATTAAAAAAAAAAACATCAGGAATTAACAGTTTTAAAACAAAACCACATTAAACATAAGCTTAACGCGTAACAATGGAACTACACTATTTGACAGTAATTTAGTGTTACTAGTACCAGCAAAACCATTAGTTCCTCAAACATTCTTTTCATGACTTTATTGACAGACATTAACATTGCGACCAATCATACAATCGTGAGGTCACGGTGATGACTGTGTCACGGTAATAATATATATAATATTACCTTGACTGTGTCCAACCAAAACGCGCTTTACCCTCCCCGGATTCGCCTGCACCTTTTTCAGGACCCAGAGTTTGCGTATGGTTATTTTTATCATATTTTCGATTTAATTATTTGGATTCAAGTCACAGGTAACTTATATACCGTGCATGGTGATATTGCTCAGCGAAATGCCTTGTGAGAAGGAAGGGGAAGAAAAAGCGACGTTTTTGCCTTAAATGTGCAGATCTGGGTTTTCTTATTCTGGGTTAATTTTAATAATAAGAAAGAAAACGTAATTCCTTGTCATACTCAACCAAGTTCTTGCTACCTGACTGAGCTCATTGATAAGATTTTCCTGTTTCCCACATGCACTGTATTATCGTTTGCAAAATAATGTCTGTTTCCAAGGGGAATTAAATCATTGTCATGCAGCAGATAAAGTGAAGGCAATAAGACGGAACGCTGAGGCTCACCAACGTTCACTGACATGAACCTCGAAATCACTTACCCAGGAACAGAACTGACTTGGCAGACCGTATGCCAAATCAAATCAAATCGTTGGCTAGTCAACGATTTGATCCGTTTGTCGAGTCGATAGCCTCCCCCGCCGATCGTCTCGGTACAAAGCTGTTATGACAAAATTTGTATTGTTGCTGTTATTTAGTTTCCATAGTACTAGTAAAAGTTACAAGCTCTACATAATTTGAAAATGTTTTGAGCACATTTAAAATTTTTATTAACTAAAAAAAATGTCTTCCGTTTTTCTTTTTTTATGTTGTTTTGTGTCCTGTGTTTTGACAATTGTCAAAACGTCACAAATTCTTTATTAAAATTGGATGCACAATGCCACTCTTTTGAATCGTCCATATTTTTCCACTAGTTATGGACATTTTGTTTTTTTTTTTATTAATAAAGATTGTTAGATCTCAGTTAAGATTTGAGCCCAAATTGGATCAGTTAGTTATCGTGTATCCTTTGAAAGTATTCCTTTCATCTACAAGTTAGCTTGTTTCAAGCTCAATGTTATTTTAATAACTTTTATTTTTTATTTTACAGATATGTGTGGTCTGGAATGCTCGTTGCATTAGCAATTTACCTAAACCATTACAGCAAGAAACATCCACATTATGTGCCCCTGCCTCTGCTTCACTGCTGGCATTACATGCAGTCCTTCTACCAATCTGAGTACAGATATTTGAAGATAAAAACTAAAATTTATGCTGATACAGTATAAATTAATTTCAGGTTAATGTCATACAATAAATAAGCCAACTACTATTGTCCATGACTCTGGCAATCGCTTTGTAATAAAATAACCTTGTTAAAATTGTGATTGGAATTAGAAATAATTTAATTGTGTTGATATTTTAGCTTAGCAACTGACGAACTTTTATGTAAGAAATCTGTCTCAAATATTATCCTCCTATTGAAAAAGTAGTTTTTTAACTATTAAGGAAAGCGCCATGACATGAACTCTCATTAAACTAGGATTTAGACATCATAAACCTGTGTATAAAATGTCACAAACCTGTATAATAAACTGTCACCTAGTTATTTGTATACACACGCAAAAAAAAGTTATTCACTGTATAAACATAAATGTTTTATTTATATATTATTATTTCTTAAATATTATTAGATGAACTGGTTCAATGTATTGTCAACAACACCACTGGACGACCCCATTTGGCAACCACACCACTCTGAATGAAGTTCTAATGCAAATTATTTTCAATTTTTAAGGTCGCAATATATAGCATGGATGATCTCTTTGTGTTGATTTTACTTAAATGATCTTGATCACGATTGGCAGTGTTGGGGTTACCAATAAAAAATTAAAACATGAAATGGTATAAGAGTCAATTGTATTTATTAGTAATAAATTTACTTTAAGGAAACGATTGTTATATTTACTATTTTAGAATAATTTGCTTTTATTTCTTCTTTTTAGTTTAAAATGAAATTTAATTAATATTTATTGTTTGATATTATCATAAGAGAATCAAATTCACAATCAGTGAAATATTAAAATGAAAATACATTTTTTTATCAATGACATTTATTTTTCATTGTATGTACAAAATCTTATAAATCTAATGTTTCATACAAAAGTGTCCAAATTTAACGTGATTGAATATTTGGAATGTTATTAAGACACTATTTTCATTGGCTTTATACATTTACTAGGTAAAAGGAAAAAGAAACTGATAAAAGCAGTTTTAATACTCAAAAGCATTGATAATAACAGAGATTAGGGCTTGATTCATTTTACAGACGGATATAATTAACAGCAAAGTCAAAATCAGTCTATATTAGATTCAAATTGTAATTAGTAACAATTTTTATTTATAATACAATTTAGCTATATTGCGTTTATCAAAATATTGGGGATATTGGTCAAATTAAATTTATACAGGTCACAAGAATTAACTATGCTAGTAATATGCTCCATCTATGTCTATCATTTGCTCTTAAATGTACAAATAACTCTTTGGTATATAGTCCTAAAGCTAGATTTATTTGTCTTTTTACATGAGGGTATTTGACCCCTTTGCAAGTGACCAAGTATGATGGTATAAATTGGATTCAAGCTATTGAAACAATTGCAAAGGAGCCTAGTGACCTATAATACTAAAAATTTCTTGGCAGTAGAATTTGTATGCTTAGGAATAATAAAATCTAATGCGCGAATATAATCTCTTATTGGATATTAGCAAAATGAAATGGAAAGAGCATATAAGTCCAGATCTTGATTTAAACCAGAGAGAGCCTTATGATGAAAAAATATCACATCTCACTTTAGAATATGAAAATATTGTGTTTGTATTTTAGATTTTTATTGCTTATTTTTAAGTGAATAATTTGCTTTGTACAAAATGCAAAACAATAACCTACTTAACCGCTTACAGGCTACAGTCGCTAATAAGTAATAAATAAGGACGTGAGTTAAAATAGCAACATTATCAATACTATTTGATAATAATGATTCAGAGAATCTCCCATACTAATTTGTATCCAGTGCTTTAGTCAACTCGCATGCTACTGCTACCATGAAACTCCTATCACAAATCAGAAACGAAAAGCCTAACAAGCTCACGCATTCCTGTATTGTAATTCAAACATGATCAGAGTATAAAAATTCTAAAAAAAGTCTTTTGTAACAATGTATGCACACTTACTCAACATGGCAGTATAATAAGCTCCATGGTTTCAACAAAGAAAATGATTTATGCAACAAAATAATTACACAAACTGAATGGCTATGCATAGATCATTTTCTCTGTTATTCGTAGACACACATCACTTTATCGTTCATCGGCTAGGAACACTAGTCACGTTATTTCACTATTATCACAGCACTAGTCTTGCACTTCTCTGTATGGTATCTCACTGGTCACTGTGAAGGATTCGAAATAGTGGTTGAGGAACTCGAAGGTGGGTCTTTTCTCAGGGATAGCGTCCCAGCATTGCAGCATAAGCCGATAGATGTCGTCTGGTAAGTAATGGCCCACAGGTTTGGGCATTCTGTAACCTCTTTCTACTTGTTCTATGACATCTTTCCCGTGTAGTCCCGGGTAAGGAATCTGGCCGTATGTGAACAGTTCCATTAATAGTATACCATACGACCAGACATCGCTTTTGATTGAAAATCTTCCGTAAATGATAGCTTCTGGTGCGGTCCATTTGACAGGGAACCGGGAGCCTTGTTTTGGGCAATATTCATTGTCCTCTATGACTCTTGCGAGGCCGAAATCGCATATTTTCGCTACGTTATTTTCACCTATTAGTACATTACGGGCTGCTAAGTCTCTGTGTATCAAAAGTTTTGATTCGAGATATTCCATGCCGGAAGCCACTTGGGCAGCGACGTAAACTAGATCTTCGAACTGTAAGAACTTTCCTTCGCCGTTTCTGAGGAACTCTAGAAGCGATCCTTTGCTCATATACTCTTGGACGATGTATACAGGTTCTTGCGTAGAACAAACCGCGTATAAAGCCACTAGGCGTTTGTGCCGGAATTTCTTCATGATGGCAGCCTCTTGGAGGAACGCTTGGGTGGACATTGTTCCTTCTCTCAACGTTTTCACGGCGACCTGGAAAATGAAACGATACCGTAAAGTTAATCATACAGCATAAATAAATTAACACGCACACCACATGAGCATTTTTAATTTCTTTGAGTGGTTTATTTGGATTGCTCTATGTCGCCTACATAGAGCAATCCAAATAAACCACTCTGTATACTGTATATATAATTAAAGGTTTTTGGGCAGTCAGAAGTCAAAAATTCTTTATTCAAACTGGATGCATAATACAACTGAAGTAACTCAGTATCATAGGCAAAAATGTATAGTAAATGTGGCATTGCTGTGGTTTGGTAATGTGATATTTATAACATAAATTCCAGTTTCATGATACCACTGCAATGTCGTGAGGGATCTAAAAGATTAATATTATCATAATATCTCGTTCGAGAATCAAGTCGTTTTTCTGAGCACGGTATCTCCCACTTGTCTCTCATCAAATAAATATAATAAATAGATGAATAAATAAGCCATTGGACCCCCCTCGATGATGTTCCGCCACTTGCCGTAATACACTTTGATTTGATGTTGCACTGCCCTATTTATATCTCACAGTCATCTCTCACCAAATAATAATAATATTCTTTATTGTATAACACAACAAAGGACACAAAAGTAAATTATACTGACAGAGAGACTACTTCTAGATAGCAATATCTTTCAGGCAGACGATTCATTCGTTTGTTTATAAATAAAACAATAAATCGCCTAAATATTATTTCGCCACTTGCAGTAATAAACCTCTCCGAAGTTGCCCTGCCTCTGCTTGCTTAATAGTTTCAGGAATTATGCTAAATCTTAATTTAACTAAAACTTGATTCATCCCAAACAATAACGTCCAATTGTCATTTTTCAATGGGTTCCATCTAGTTTTACATGAATCGAGATTTAGCAAATTTACTGCAAGCTGGCCTAAATAAACTAAATATATAAATAAATAGCCAATCTACTCGCCTCGATAGTGTTCCGCCATTTGCCGTAATAAACCTCTCCGAAGTTTCCCTGTCCCAGCTTCCGCACCAACTGTATCTCTGCGCGAGGGATCTCCCATTTGTCCCGTAGTTCGGGCCCGAGGTCCCACATTTGGGGCTCTGGTTTGGGGCAAGGCCTAGCCAATACGTGGCATAGCCCCAGAGCGTTTTCTGCGAATATAATGAAAATACGAGATTATACACAAATTATCATGAAGATTAAGGAATTAAGTTGGTGTTTTTTTATGTCAAAAGGAAGGCAAACAAGCATATGGCTCGCCTAATGGTAAGAGGCGTAAAGAAGCAACATGCAGGCCGGCAAGTTGAGGATAGCTGGTGTGGCAGGTAGAACTGCTGTACCAGCTATCTTCACGTCTGGACTTCACCGTCACTTAACATCCGGTGAAGGGAAAACCATTGTAATAGTCATAAATATACAGAAATAGACACTCACTCGTATAGGACATGACCAACGCCGGTAGACTCGGGAACGTCTGGTTTGTCGCAATATAGAAGCCTCCATTGTCCAGGGGTTTGATCTTGTAGTGTTTGACATGATATCCCCTTCCTTCTTCCCAATCTTTGACGCTGAGGCTGAATCCATGAGGGTTATGCTCTGCTGGCCTCACTAAGAAAGTGCCTCGAGGATTGGACTCCGCCAGTAGTAGTTTATCAGCTTCTTTCCGGGATACATGCGGGAAGAACCAACTGCAATAGAAAAGCTGTCTTTAGCAAAAATAAAGGACTGGAGTGACGCCTTTGGGGGCGGATTTGCCTTCACCGTTTCATCTCAAAGCTATGAAGTATCTATAAAGGGGACTTGACAATTTTATTAATAACATCATAATGTTTTTACTAATGTGAGTGATTAAAATTGTGATTCCTAAGAGAGGGAGTATTTCTCACTGCGTTGCATATTCCAGTTTTTAAAAAAAATGCCGTGTATACAATTACCTACTCTGAGAATATGGCGGCTTACATACCTAAGACGACATTTAAGACGCGGCCCCAATTCAAGCTTAGACAAGAGATAAAAACCATTTAACTTTTCCGTGAACTAAATATTCATGTGAACTATAGATGCCAATAATCGGTTCTTTATTTTTCACACTGCCAAATAATGTGTTCCTGTCCATGGATTAGCAAATAATTCCGCCGAACATAAATAATGTATCAGAATGAAAACTTATGCCACCAGTCGGGCTCCGTGTCGCTCAAATGACCCAGATCGCCAGATTTTTAAATGACAGCCCTCTGCATCGAGTGACGTCACCACTTACTCCTCGCACTCCACGGAGCTCTCCTCGGCCACGAAGGTGACGGGCACGAGCCCCTCCCGCCTGGTGGTGAGGTGCAGCACGCGCCACCAGTCGGGCTCCGTGTCGCTCAGCACCTCCATGCGGTCCCCCTTCCGGAACGAGATGTCGGAGTCCGCGCGCGCCGTGTACGCGCATAGTGCCTTCACTATGCGCCGTCCGCCGTTCGTCATACCTGTGCCAAAGAAGAAAAAAATATGATTCTATCAAGAAATGAATCGTCAAAATCGATTTATAAACATCGGAGATAAGAGCGATCAACAGTAATTCTGGCATATCGAATTGCGAATGACTCTAAAAATCTTCAGAGCCGGATTTAGAAGTCCTGGTATTGCAGGCAGCGCCCAACGCCCTGGGGCAAAGTAGAAGTGGGTAAACATATTTTAAAATATGCCCGTATACGGGGAAGTTGGTATGTGACTAGTCAAAATTTCGTATTTTTTTTTCTCTTGATGACCAAGTGTTTGGTCATCTAAAATAAACGTGTATGTGAAATTTCATCTCAATCGATTGAGAATAATTGCTTTAAAATACTTAAATGTGAAAGATTTGACCCGAACGTACATTGCAAGCAAGGGCGTCGCCAGTCAACGTGCAGTAAGCAGAAATGTTTGTTCAGGCAAGCAAGTCAAGGGAATTTGGTCGCTTTACATTTGGCTATATTTATCAAAACCGGCCAAGTGCGTGTCGTACCACGTGCAGTGTAGGGTTCCACAGTTGCCTGTAGTTACCACAATATATTTGAGTAGGAGTCTTTTATTTTCTACATCGGAAATAAGAAAAACCAATTAATATCGATCTACGTATCTCAGCTAAAATACCTAAATCAAAGTCAAACTGCGTCTCAAACTCAAAATCAATTCGATATTATTATTTTTTAAATACGATAACCGCCGATTTTTTTTTGTTTCTTTCCAGGCGGGGGAGTGGGCGTGAAATCCTCATGGATGTAGGGTACAGCCGGCTGCAAGCTTATGTCGAACTCTTAGTGACTAAAAGTTTTATCTGAAGCGATCATCCCCTGAGAAAGGGATGATGCGGTATAACCGTCGATCTTTTCAAGTGCTTATATACTTTTTATAAAAACATAACGTTAGAGCGGCTCAGAAGCCGTTGCCGTTAGTACTCGCGGTAGCGTTGTGAAACTAACGATATTTTATTGTGGTTTTTAAATAGTTTTTCTTAGATTTTGTAATTTAAAGTTCAATATTTCGCAAACGGATCCCTAAATCGAAAAATAGTCTTAGGAACCCCTAAGTAATTTTAATGGACCTATTCAGCGATATCCCATACGATGGGGTAGATCACGGAGGAAAAACAAAGAGGAGCTGGCCTAAGCAACTGTGCACTGTGATTTTCAACTAGGTCCTGACGTCATCATTGTGGGCGGGGCCTAAGTCAGTATGCTTTCAGCGTTCGTCAGGTGCACACTTAACGAGACTCGCATTATAAGTGTTTTTTTGCGTTTTTAACAAGAAAAGGATGAGGTTTTGTGTTTTACTATGTCAAAGTTACTCAGACAGACGTTCTGATAATATGGATGGCATCACATTTCATTTGTAAGTAATTTTATACGTAATAAAATATATAAGTTCTAGAACATTCTCAGCCTCAGCTATCAGCGTTAAAATTCTACTACTTGACACCAGATGGCGACACTTTTAGGAAGAAAATACATAAGTTTACGTATAATTTTGCAGTAGTATATTGTAATAATCATACGTAAATACTGAAAACTGTTATACACTTATTCCTAAATAACTTTTAGTATCTAAAACGTAATTTTATCAATATATTACTAACTGGCCGCCATTTCGTATAGAATAACTTTTTAAACGTTACAAATATCCAGGGCCGTAATACGTATTAAATTATTTTACCAAGTAAATAATTTTAATTATTTTTATGTCGTTTTAGATTTCCATCCAACGATAATTTAAAACAGCAATGGATTTCAAAACTTAATAGACCGGATTGGACACCATAGAAGAAGAAGATATTTCCATTTTAAATGAATCTTCTGTGCAAAAAATTAATATTACATCAGAACGTTATCGCATTTTAAATAAAATGAGTTTCGAGTCTTCGGATAGCACGGATGTCGAGCCTATGCCTGACGATATGTTATTGGAATTTGATGAACAATTAAATACAACTATAGGTGACTATTTGCGCCGTAAATAGTAGCATATATTTCTGGGTATGTGGTCAAATATTTACATTCCAAGATCAAATGTGAGAGCTGTCTCAAAGAATTATATGCTGATAACTACGACGATAGTGACCTTGATTTGATAAAAACTAAAAATAAGGGTGGTCTTACTTTCCCATCTAGAGATGTCATAAAAATATGTATACGGACCGAAGGCAGTATTCGTTGTGTAAATCGCAATCTTTGAATACTTAAACTTTCGTAAACATAAAATTGTATCAATACATTAAAATCACTTATTGGACAAGATTGTTTCAAAAAATCGGCCAACCATATGTTTGACCAATCACCTACAGTTAATCATGTTGTATTGTGATGAAATCGATTGCAGAAAAATATATTGATATTCGTTTTAAGCATTTTGCCACAATACAAAACGATAGGGCAACCAACCGACAACAACTAACCAAAACTATTATTTACAGGTAATTGATGTTTTTTAATAAAATTATGTTTGTAATAACATTTTGTCTATTATTTTTAAACTACTTAAATTTAAATCTAAAGAAAATATAACTAGAAAAATATCCACGCGGACCAGGCAGCAGCGGGTGCGGGTTCGAGTCCCCTGCTGCCTGGTCTGCCTGGATTTTTTTTCATCAAGCAGTTACATGTTTTAAAATAATAAAAATTATACCTTAAAAATTTTAAAATCGTCAAATTTGTTAACGTTATTTTATTTATTTACCTACATATTTCATTTTTTGAAGCTTCAAGTTCTGAGTACGTCCCATTATATACAAAACTTTTGACATCTAGTGTTAGATAGCTGAACTACTACTTAGTAACATAAATATCAACCTAAGCTAGTTTTGCTATTAGCCGATAGATGAAATATTGAGAAGTGGGCGGAGCTGAACACCCCGCATCCCGCAAATTATCACGCGTCGTTTCTTGAGGAAATTTAATCACCACACCTCCTCTTTGTTTTTCCTCCGTGGGGTAGATGATGAAATCCTCATCCCCTGGTTACATGCAGGGGAGCTACCATAAAAAAAATTTTTAAAATTTTTATTCTACCATTTTGTTGGCTGATCGATATACATATCTTCACAAAATTACTGCTCACTATTGCTAATGGTATTTTCTCCAAGCAAAACCGGGGACGGACAGACGGACATGACAAAACTATAAGGGTTCCTTGTCAGGACTACGAAACCCTGATAATGTCTAGAGTCATGTCACGCCCTTGTTGTAAGTTAAATAAAATCTTTTTATAAATAAAATAAGAAAAAGAAAGTTGCGGAATAACTTCTTTTGCAACGCTACTCGATACAGTTGGGTTTAAGGTTTTTTTTATGTTTCTATCCTCTCAGTTTGTATCACCTTCTGTCGGACCCGCTAGTTGTTAAGATTTAAAGGTTGTGAAGCTACATGAATTACTGACATTTTCCAGGGTTGCGCGTGCGCACGATGTCGGCCAGAGCGCGGTGTCCCCTGTTGTTGGGCTCTCCGGTGTAGCGCGTCTCCAGGGCGGGGCACGCCGTGAAGCCTGCCTCGTTCTTGTATGCTGGATACACTGAAATGAGAGAACGATACGATATAATTTAAACAAGTCATCGGTTAGGCTCAAATAAGACCTTTTAACAGCCAGTTTCTGAAACTAGACTACAGTAAGAGACTAGGGTTGTCACCTTTTTTTTTTGTCGAAATAAAGTACATTGGATATTAAAAGTAGAAAATAAAAGTACACTGTGTCCAAAATAAAGTACATTTTATTCCACTTTATTAGTTAGCTTAAAAATATATTTTACGTTGCTACTAGCAACTTTTAATAAATAAATTTCGGCTACTGTAGTTTTTTTCCGCAATGGAAAAGGTCATGATACAAAGGCATACCACGAAATCATACCATAGCCACGAAAATGTTGCAGGAATTAGTTAAGGGCAACATATTCATACTTTCTGTGCGTTTTACGCAAAAATTCTACCTATCAAAAATCACATTAAATAAAGTATTTTCGCGTACTTTATTGTTGGCATAAAGTATAGAGTACAATTACCCGAAATAACGTACAATACTTTATAATAAAGTACGGGTGGCAACCCTCTAAGAGACCTTTGTTGTCTTGACATTTTTATTCGAGCCATCCATCCATAGCAGCATGTTATATCAAGATAGGTAGGGCATAGCGAATTTTCCGCTCGAATGGTAGCGTCCATATGGGGATATTTTCCCTTAGTTTCAACGCACGAATGATACTTAAAAAATGTTGCATTGGAAGTTTATATACGCTTTGGTGGCCGGTTACCATCAGGCACCATATGCTTATTTACATAAAAAACGCACATCAAAGTTATAGTAATTTCAACGAATATCTTTAAGACGGGCAATGTTTTTTTCCATACAAACGTTCTCGACTGATTCCTCCTTGATTATTATCCCTAAAGAACCACCATCTACCACAAAAGACGTCTATGTGGAGATTTAATAAGCATTTACAAAAAAAGAAAAACATGGAGCATATTATAACTACTTATTATAAAAATTTCATTATTATAATAAGTAGATATAATATGAAAATTACATATACGTATATCTAATTTTCGGAGGAGGAAATCGTCAAGAACCATATATACCTCGAATTTTGTTATTATTATACGTAATTTTCAGCGGAAACTACTGTTTCTATCGCACGGTATTTGCCAATGCGTGACAGCAATAGTTTTTTCAAATACCTATTTCGCAAATGTCTCTCAGCTTGCGTTTGTTGAAATTCGTGCAGGAAAACTAAGGTCATCTATAGGTGATAAATAATGTAGACGGATAGACAATCATTATTTAATTTTATTAGGCGTCTCGTAATCATCCACATCTCTTTAAGGAAAGAAAGAGTGAGGGTAAGTATAATGCAAGCGATGACGTGCGTTTTTAGACTATGGGTGGTCTCCCCATGCGATACGGGTCATATGGCCGTTTTGCCACCCTGTTCAAATGTTCACATGTACAAGCGGCAGAAATTTTAACACGTTTTTGAAGCAGTTTTCATGTGCTGTAAAAGACACATAGATATACATCAGAAAAGTCTAAGCAACACGCATCATCTACAGAAACTGTATGTTTATTATAATTGATGTTTATTTTTTTTCTAACAAAAGGAGATTGGTATACAATCTTTTTTGATCTCGAAATTATAATTGGTTGATTTTAAAAATAGAAAATTTTCGATTGTTATAAGAGTAGCATAGTATAAATATGTTACTATAGTAAAAATCGTTCAAAAGTTCAAAACCGTACAAAATGTTGCTTATAGTCTGTTTTTTAATCTCGGAGACAAAACTGACACATGCAAATGTTAAGTATGCAGATAACGATATCAACTTTTATTATGTAGTGTTGTACCTGCGACACCGGTATTTTAAGTATTATTTTTATAAGACGGTTATTTATTTTATTGTATTGATATTTTCCAAAATTTTAAAAATATTTTATGTGTTGTATATATTAAAATACACCGTTTTTATTTTGAAGAAAAACGGTCAACTGGGTCATATAATCGATATTACCGAATTTTTACTATAGTAAGTAATAGATGCCGAGATGACGTTTCAGAAACTTCATATCTGAATAATAAAATATGCTTATGTTATTACGCGCTTCAAATCTCCCTTTGTGTAAATAATGTTTTATTCGTGATTTACTTTTAAAGATATTATATTAAAGTAAGGTAATATGTATATCGTAACCTGTAGGCCTCCCATTACTATCTTCATTTAACATTTGCTTCGGTACAAAAGCTATTCATTCTCACGTGTATATTTTTTTAAACTGACTTCACAAATGTGTTCAGTTTGGTCGGAATGTTTTTATGTAGGTATGACACATGATTTCTGATCCGATTTTCGTAATTCATTTTTTGTCCAATGCAAAATAGTTGCCATTTGGTCCCGTAAAAATTTAATCCAGTTTGGCCAAGTAGTTTTTATTTCATGAGCATTTCTGTTGGACTAGGATGATGTAATTTGCATGATACTTTGTATACGGCTTTTTAGGGGGTTTTATGAACCTATGTGTAGGCGCTTTACTGACTACTTTATACTACTGTACTAATATAAAACGAATAAAATAATATTTTATGAGTATTAATTTCCGATAGTAGTACATCACTATTTTAGAACTGCAATAAACCGGCAACACAAGTAATGTCATTTTTGTCTATAGATTAAAAAACATACTATAGACTCAAATCACAAAAACCTATTTCAAATGCCAAATGAAGCGTTTATGACAGGATACAAATTTAGATAATTATAGGGCGAGAAAGCTATTGTAACAATTCGTCACTATTTTCCGGACAAAACTTGAACAAAATCGATACCAAATGTGGCCTTGTTGAAGCGTTGCTAAGGGAGTCAAATGAGAGTAAGATTTGAAGTATTTAATTGTGTACTATATCTCTTTGGTGCTTTGGGAATTCCACAATTTAAATGGTTTGAACATAGTAAGTATGTATTGTATGCACAGGAAATAAAGTAGCTAGTTATCTAGTTACCATTAGTGGGATACCATCTTCGGCACACATTAATTGCAGTCTTGAAACAATGAAGACGACCTCAAAGCACTGTTTTTTGAGTAAACTAGAAACACAGCAATGCAAATTAAAGCTAAATGGGCAACTTTGTGCGGCGTGCGCAAAATCTTGCCCATTGTTCGGTTCAAGGAAATAGGTTCCGCTCCGTTGTATCGAGATATTTATAAACTTCTATGACGTATTTCCAGATTTTTCACGGGTAATTCACTAAACATACATCTTTATCGCCTTGACAATAAGAGTTATTGCTACCTGACCAGTCCTTCGTTTTTTATTTATTGTTTTGTCAGTGACGTCGATACTTTTTTTTGAGAAATCTGGTATGGTTTTTTGCTCTTTATTAAATTAGATATTAATTATGACGAATGAGTTCTTAACAAAATAAATACCTGTAAATTTTAACGACAATTGCCAGAAGAATCTTCAGATAATAAGTTCTTAGAATGTTAATTCCTTGGTACTTACATATTTATAAAATAATTACATGAACTAAGTATTCGATTAAACTACTTTTGAACCGTTTAAAAGAAAAAAAACATGAGAAATAAATATGGAGTATGTCAGTGAAAATCATTTCAACTTCAACTTTCAACAATGTCTGTAAGTAACTTTGTCAATAACATTGTGTGCTATTGACTTTATGTTATGTATGAAGTAAACATGATCATTGTTACTGTACCTGCATACGCAAAGACTTATAAAATAATCATGTCCCATATTCGAATTTGCAACATGATATTATGGCACATCAATTTACCAACCTTATGATATCAATTGTTATTTATACGGAGAAATACGATTACTTTGTCACGATGTAAATTATAACTTATTTCTTTAGCCTTACGAGATTTTCTCGCATGTCATCAAATATGTGCCGAGTGTGCTTTTAAGCTTTAGCGTCTACGTAAACGACATTTTTTTCATTATGGAGTTATCGTATTAAACCTTACTAAGCGGTGTTTCCACCAAAATTCCATACAATATCCTGTTTATAGCAAACCCGACCAGGTAAAAGAGAGTGAGAGTAAAAATGATGTTTATGAAAAAAACGATGACAGTTTAAGGTCGCGTAGTAGCAGACATCGCCGTATCAACTCAAGCCGTTCAGTATTCTTAACGCACATTAATCGGAATCGCAACGTTATCGCCTCGCCTCGGGACAAGCTCTTATTTCTTCGTGAGGCGATTACGGTACGCTTCCGATTAGTGTGCGTTACAGAAGGGAGTTTTACACAAATAATACTGAACGGATCGAGTTGATACGGCGACGATCTCTTTCTAAGTTGATATGTCGGCTGCGGCCTTTAGCATCATTGCTTTCTGTCCGCATGAACTGATAAACTTTTATTCCCCATTATACCAAATCTCTCGGGGGATATAGTTTCAAAAATAGGTTCCTTCATATAGTATTCTGTGGGCAATAAGAAGCCAATTTCTAATTATTATAGAATTTATTATTTAAAAATTGTATCTGAACTATTTATGTGTCAATAATGAATATGAATGACCAACTCCCAATTTACAAACTCCAAAAAATTTGATTTTCTTTGTCTTAATTCTATTTCCAAATGCGAAGCCATTGCAAAAAATTTCAAAACAATTAATTGGTCTTTTTCTCTTTAACTACTACAATGAGCTTATGACTGTGTAGGACAGGTTATTTTTTTACACACATACAATTCCAATAAACATGCAAAAACACTATGGGGTAGTTAGTCCCTATATTCAAGAGGTTCTCAAACTCTTTCACCCACCATCCAAATCGAAAGCCTAAATAATTAATTATTTATAATTTTCATATGTAAGTTAAGTTAAGAGATTACATAATTGAGTTTCATGCAAGCTTGAACTTTCAACAAACAGGTAAGTACCTAAATTCCTATCTTAATACATTTCCATAGACCATTAAATAGGAATTTTCGCAATTTCCTTGTACTTAATAAAATCAATAAATTATCATCGCGCTATAAACAAACAAAAATTTTATCTGACTTGTAGGTTTTAGTTCGGATGAAGATAAAGAGTTATCCTTACTTCTACAAAGACGACGCGATCCGCACTATCAATGGTAACCATAAAGTTGCCCCAGACGAGGCCATTACGCTGTGAAAGGACCTTTGTGACCGAGACTACGGGAAGTAAAGGAGTTCTTTTTGTTATTTCACTGATATATACATGCTCTTCTTAACAATTTAAATGTTAGCTTTGATGAAAAACAGGTAGTTTAGATAGGTAGCTTTAGTGTTTCTTGAACGAAGTAGGTATGGTAAAAATACAAACTTTTAATATTTTTCGGAGCAAAAAAAGACAGAACGTTAGTCTTCTTTAATTATATGAAAGAACAGCCGCTAATGATGAATTTGACTTTGAAACTACTAGGTCTAAAAAATATTCCGTTAAGGTGAGTATATACTACAGTATTTATCTTGAGCATTCGTTGTTTCATTTTCATTTAGTCGAATCTAACTTCGAACATGAATATCAATATTTAATTACAACGTGATTTTAAAAACCAAGAAGCAATTTGGTGTAATAGTTTCTCGAGCATAGGCGCGAGCGCAAAGGAGTGACGATCGAGCGATGATGTAGCTCGGCGAGTCTTATAAAGTGCGCAAGGTAGAAAAAAAACGTAACAGGTAGATGCTTATTCGCTGTGAACATTATGTCAAATACAGCGTCGACAAATCGCAAGAACGTTTCATTAAATGGATATGGTCTAAGAATATATTGTTTTAAACTTTCATGGTCACTAACGTTATATAATAGCTATTAACGGGATAGTTACCGCAGGCAGTGTTTTAAGCGCCATGATCACGGAGTAACTGAAGTAATTGCGGGTAGATGTTATTGGCAGACATATCAACAGTGCCTTGGATTTATGATAAAAGGAAATGGTACTTGAAAAATGCTACTTAGTCTGATTAAAGCTAACCTTGTCAATTTCCTTGTGATAATTAATAATAAACTAAGGCACCATGTCACTTTGCAGGCTATTCAATTTATTTGAGGTCTCTGAGCTTTGATGTACGTACAATCATGATTTATTAAATAACTGACTACGCAGAACTCCTCTGTTAAGATTTTTAGTTTTCAATTTCAATGAAATTTGGGGATTGGATAAAGAAAGATTTTACCGTTACTTCTTAAAAAAAATGTGTCTGGAAACGTCAAGTAAAGTCGAACGAGGAGACGTTCGCCGACCAAATCGATGGGCGTTCTAAATAAAGGATACCTACGCGAAAAGCTCCAGAAAAGGAACCAAAAGATCAATGCAGTGAATCAGTGATTTATAAACGTAGAGTAGTAGACGGGCTACGGAATAACGAATATGATAGCAGGTTGTGAACAGTATTCCTAGGACGAACCAATATCCATTTCGTATCGTTCGCGAGTCCGAAATGTCAAATTTTGTATGGAAACTTGAACAGCAGCGCCACAAAACACGTTACGAGAACTAAAAGTCAGTACACATTTGACAGTGACATTTCGTATTCGCAAACGTAACAAATTCGATATTGGTTTGGGCTAAGGGTACTGGTGGTTTCTTGCGCGTGGTTATGAATGAATGGCCGTGTAGAAATACTATCAAAACCCGGAACTTCTAAATCGTTGAGTTGGATAAATGGAATAACCATACCAATATTTACTTATTTATTTTACGATTTTAACGAAACTACTCACCCAAGGGTCTATCGGGATCATGGCGGCGGCTACAGCACTTATTACCCATGGCGCGGCCCGCCCGCTACGCCGCGCCAAGCTGCTTCTGAAACAATAAAAAACCCATCAATAAATAACTAGATACTATTATACATCGCGAAGATAGCTGATGTAGAGTTATGAACAACTACAGCAGCCACCCTCACCTTGCTAATCCATACAAATGCTACTTCACGCCTCTTACTTTTAATGTTCCCCAGATTGTACGAAGAAGGGAACGACAATAGTCCCTTGACGTTGAATTTACCTAAAATTGATGAATGTTGATTAGGTATAGTGCTTTAAGACATACCTAGCGGATTTGGTTCTGTGTTGATGGCATGGCACCGGGTGTTTCTAATAGAATTAGGATAAACAGTTTTTCAGTAGCCTACTTTGTATAAGTACTTAATAGCCGGACGATATGACATGACGACGCCAAAACATAAGATAAGCCAATTTTCATAAGTGACCTATTATATTAATAAGCTGCTTCTTCATAAAGTAATTCTGGTTATTTTTATAAATTCATAAATAACTGTAATCTTATTGATATTGTTAAGTAATGTACCTTCATAACGATTTATGTATTATCTACAACATTATTCTGTATCTTTTTTTAACAATCGATCACAAATAACTTAATTACATTAATAGCTTTAGATGAATAGAACAAACTAAGTACAATTTCATATTTTGACTCTGCCATTACTTTGACAATTAATAAGATAGTGCCCAAGATTTGAATTCTAACTAATTACAAATTACTGAGAATCAGTTAGGTACGACAACATAATAATCCATAATTAATTGATTTTACTGATACTTTATTTCTAGTATTTAGACAATAATATTAATCAACTATTTGTGAAAGTAATTCGTACATTATTAAATGGATGTTTTTCGCTCGGATGTCAGGTTTGAAATATTTTATTCCCCAAGGTAATTTAATTTGTAATAGCAACATAATGAATTAGTAAATTACTTGTGTTTATGCGACAAAGCAATTATAATTATTATCGTTTATTACTTCATCAAGTAAAATGAGTGGTTGGATGAATGATAGGCACTTAAAACATATTAAAACATGAATCACACGTCTCGCTATAGGGCTCTAATATTCAATTTCAAAACGAAATTAGTTAATATAATATATTAATGTAAATTATATATAATGTAAATTTTATCGAGTAGGTAGGTACTAATTTACTGTAATCCATACTAATCAATACTAATTAAACGTGAAACTTACTCTACTCTGGCTTGGTCTGACCCCATCTTTCCCTACGCATTTCACTAATTAAATCCTCTACGCACTATCTATCATGCTGGATCCGGATCCAGCATGCGGGACAGCTATAAACACATAAAAGATATGGAGATACAGGATCTCCTTTAAGTGTATAGCGCTGTTCCGCATGCTAGATACAGCAAGCTGAAAAGTGCGTAGAGGAAACGTCCCCTACGCATATAGTGGTTAAAATTCTTGAATAAGACCATAACCTAATTAACTTACGCAGTAGGCGATTTTGTATAAGAAAAATTGCTTGCTGCGTAGTGTGTCCGTTATCTATGGTTAAATAACATCCAGGCAAACGGGATTGTATCCATCAAAATCTTTTTATATCGTGCGCATGTTTAAGTCTGTCACGTAAGCCGTTCTTCGGTCCCTTTACATAGATAACATGGCCTTATGTTTAATTCGAGATTCAAGTACGTTGTTAAAATTTTATCTGAGCACACATCAGATAGAATAATGTACCTACTAAATGATGATACAGTTATATTTTTGACTGCTAAGAAAGTTTTTCTCCTATCATTTTTAAAAACACACAACTTTAGAACAGACCGACTTCGAACCCACTAGGGTTCTATTCAGTACCGTAGTAGACGGTAGTAATCCCTAATTGAACCCACCTCCAATAAATTGAACCCATTAGGCTTCAATTCAGTGCGGATTGATGGAAGTTTCACCATTTTCCAACGCAGCTAGGATCAATGACATCCAATGCATTCCGAAGCATGGATAATTAATTTTTGGTCACGTATTCATTGACTTGTCATAGAGAAAGTTGTTTGACTTGACATCGTAATCGTAGAAGCTCGCTTGCGCTTATCAGAATATCATAAAACATTTTATGAAAAAATTTTACCTTCAGTATAAGGTGAGAGACAGTACAAAAATATTGAGCTTGTGTTGTGAACATGAGAACGAATTTAAGGCAGTGTTTTCATAAATAAGTAATTTGCTATTTATAGTATGCGTGTAGGTAACAAGTATGATGATGTAACCATTTCTTCCATTCAAAACTGTTAACTAACCATGAACGTTTCCAATGGAATTTAACGACTATAACCGATGATAAGTAACATTGAAATTCTATGAAGAGCGAGGCTATGAAATCGCAAATATACTTGAGGTGTATGACAATAAAGTTTGCCCATAGTCCATAAAGTGGTTAGATACTTGCCAACATGCAATTGATACCATGACAATAAAGTAGTACAGGCACATGGTACAAAGCAATAAAGGAACTATAATCACAAAATAGATAATACATTCATTGTGTTGGTCGATGTGTGTTGTAATTTATCGTATTTCCGATACATTCTACAGTAAGTATAGTTTATTTAATTTTTTGGAAGAATTAGGAATAACCACCTCTATTGGTACTGTTATATATTATCTGTTTCCAACTATCCGCAAAGGACCCAGGTGGAAGGGCTGCTCTAGCTTTTAAAGGAAAGACTATGTATTAGCATTTTTAACAAACCGACTTCATAACAACCTCTAATTTTTTGAAGTAGGTTAAAAAGCAATACCACAGAAAATTAATAATAACAGAGAATTAACTGATTGGCCTTTATCCAACTGAAAAGAAAAACTGGCCAGATAATTGTGGAAGAGAAGAAAATGAACGTGGGGGCAATAGTTCGTATTTGTATTGGCTTCATCATAGCTTTCTCTCTTTCTAAAGAGTTTTCAATTTCATACGAATGTCGCTCAATCCATTACCTTATGTCTAAGGAAATAATGAACAATGTTTTTAAAGTGAAACTTTTATTACATCCCCACCATCTTTAAGCATGTCGCATTATGTACATATGTGACTGTTATTAAAAATTCAGACCTTACTAACAAACAACGATGGTTCAGCGGTAGAAACCTCACCTATTACGCAGGCGGTCCGTGTTCGATTCGCAGCCGAGAAAGCACTTTTTTTATTAATGATTTAAATAGTTTCACTTGCATTGTGGTTTCATAAAACCTCACCAGTTTTTATTTTGTTATTTTTAAAGTGAAAATTACATTTTGCGTAACAAATGTTTCTAGCTTACTACCACCATACCAGTAAACAAATGTAAGTACAATACAGACGGGAACAGAGACCCATATCACAGTCTACATCTCGTATAATATTGTGTCGCATTTACCATCTTGAAAATTCCATCTTCCTACCCTGTTAAACACTGGCATCTTACTCGCTGTAAGAATATAAAATTACAAAATAAGGCTTTTACGCCTAAAATAATACTCTTCTGTAAGATGAAGTATGTTTTTCCAGCCAGCCGATTACGAGTGGATAATTTGCTGTGTACTGCCACTCTAAAAATCGTAAGTATAATACCTATAACGTATATTAAGCTAGCAGACCATGGTCGCAACGCGCACATCTAACCTACTGGGTATTTAGTTGCTAATTAGTTACACTATTCCCGATTTAGTTGCTCAACACCTGTAAAAGATACATGCAATCTGCTAGCTTAAGTCTTAACCTAGCAGACCACAATACTGTATCTTCGGTTCTCGTAAAGATATCGAAGTTCTGCAAACGGCATATTTAGTTGCTAATTAGTTGCTGTAGGACAGCCTTATTTGTTTTATCCCCCCATCATCCCTTAATTGCCGCACCAGCACCCACACTATCCCCGAAATACGAAAAATTTAAAAAGGGCTCATCAGAGAATTTAAACTACGGCGTATTTCGTTGCTAATTAGTTGCTGCAAAATAGCGTTGCTTATAGTATTTAACTATCAACCCTTAACTCCAAATCAACACTGCAACCACCCCCGAATAGGACGATATCGGAAAATTCTCGTAGGTGGAAAAAGACGCGGCATATTTAGTTGCTAATTAGTTGTTTGCCAAAAACGCAGTTAAGAGTATTCTACAATCATCCCCTTAACCTCAGATGCAACCCCTCTACTCACTTAGAAACAGTAGATGGTTAAAATTCGCACGCAGTTGTTTAAGACTGCTGGATGTTTTGTTGTTAATTAGTTGCTGAAAAATAGCGTTGCTTATAATATTTGATTATCAACCCTTAACTCCAGATCATCCCTGCAACCACCCCAGAATAGAACGATATCGGAAAATTCTCGTAGGTGGAAAATAGACGCGGCATATTTAGTTGCTAATTAGTTGCTCGCCAAAACCGCAATTAAGAGTATTCTACAAACATCCCCTAACCTCAGATGCAACCCCTCTACTCACTTAGAAACAGTAGATGGTTAAAATTCGCACACAAATGTTTAAGACTGCTGGATGTTCTGTTGCTAATTAGTTGCTCGCCAAAAACGCAGATAAAAGTATCCTACAATCATCCTCTAACCTCAGATCCACCCCCTCTACTCACTAAAAAAAATGGGTGCGTGTACTTATGTAGGCGCGTGAGAAGTTATCCTTCTTTGGCATCGTTTAAAATTAGTTTTTAATTGCATGCAAATAATTAATTACAATAAATTAATAAAAAGTCTGGAAAAGGACACAGTCAATAAAGTTCAGTTTTAATTTGAAAAAATAAATAAATAATCAAAATATTCAATTAAAATCGCTACTGAATATAATTTATTAGAACATATGTGATTTGCACTTGTTTCATACAAGTGCAAATCTTATATATTCATACAAGTACTCAAACACGTATTCCGAATATACAAACTAGAAACATGTGGATAAATATTATAAATATAAATATTATAATTATAAAATAAATATAAAAAAATAAAATATAACTGTTACTTTATTACAAAAAATAAAGATGTGGTTTTTGGTTCTACTACAC